ATCATGACAACGTCGGATTATGTCCGACTTGAACACATGTTATATCAGCTTCTAAGGAATACATCTACACCACTGCGTATATTTGTTTTATTCAGGATCACAACATGATCACACAGTTAATGGCCTTTAAACATACAAACACGATCAGTTGTTTGTGCCTGCGATACCAACACGGTCAATAAACACAATTGCTCTACAAAGGTCAACATCACAATGTCGAGACCATATAGTCGTTCAGCAGGTGGCCGGGGAGACACATAGAATATTCCGTGAAATTTACACAGTTTTGGATCAGAATTTGGTATTACATTAGTGTATGCTTAGATACCAATCTTCTACAGTTGCTTTCCTCCCATCCTGCCACCTTTAAATTACGTTCTCTCTTTCCCAACATACGTCCACCATACGTTCTCCCTTTTCTCTTCTCTGTAAACCAATGTGTATGTGTATCTGTATGTGCGTGTGTGTGTACGTGTGTTTTTGTTTGTGTCTTTCTGTCCGTGGGAGGCCAACATTGACCACGGTGTGATTACATGACATCATGTCTGGGGGAGGTCAACATTGGTGTCTGTGGGACGTCAACATTGACCACGGTGTGATTACATGACATCATGTCTGCGGGCGGTCAACATTGGTGTCTGTGGGAGGTCAACATTGACCACGGTGTGATTACATGACATCATGTCTGCGGGCGGTCAACATTGGTGTCTGTGGGAGGCCAACATTGACCACGGTGTGATTACATGACATCATGTCTGGGGGAGGTCAACATTGGTGTCTGTGGGACGTCAACATTGACCACGGTGTGATTACATGACATCATGTCTGCGGGCGGTCAACATTGGTGTCTGTGGGAGGTCAACATTGACCACGGTGTGATTACATGACATCATGTCTGTGGGAGGTCAACATTGGTGTCTGTGGGAGGTCAACATTGACCACGGTGTGATTACATGACATCATGTCTGGGGGAGGTCAAATTTGATGTCATGGGGAGGTCAACATTGACCTCGGTGTGATTACATGACGTCATGTCTGTTGGAGGTCAACATTGACGTCTGTGGGAGGCCAACAGTGATGCCTGTGAGAGGTCAACATTGACCACGGTGTGACTACATGACATCATGTCTGTGATAGGTCAATATTGATGTTTGTGGGAGGTTAACATTGATGCCTGTGGGAGGTAAACATTGATGCCTGTTGGAGGTCATCTTCCCGAGGCAAGTGAGTTAACTGACTTTAAAAGTCCAGTGTCCACCCTTGCCGAACTAGGCAGGAATTCCTGGGCTCGATCGTAGCGCCACTAGTGGTTATTACGAGTTATGTCCCTTCTAAGCCTCTCCTATGGACCAATCAGGTTCCAACTCTCGTATCACTTGCATTTGTTTCAAACAAAATGGCGGCGCCCAGTCAGGACGATCGATAATCAAGATCTATATTGTGATAAAACGGGCCTTACATCGCGAAGTGCATCAAATCACGTGAGCACCTTGATTAAAAACATGAAAAGATTTGAAAAATATCTGTTGGCGGGGAGTTGGTGGTGCACATGCTTTGCAAATCTTGCAATCGACAGAAATCTGCACGAAATTCGTTGCGCGATTTTGATTGGACTATGCATAGACTCGTTAGTCCAGCCAAAATGTAACTCCACAATACCAGCCTAGTTCGGCAAGGGTGGAAACTAGACTTTTATAGTCAGTTAACTCTCTTGCCTCGGGAAGATGGTTGGAGGTCAACATTGACCACGGTGTGATTACCTGACATCATGTCTGTGGGAGCCGAGTAATGAACATTATCACAGATTTGATGTAGGAGTATGCGGTACGCAAGTTGTTGATATGGAGATACTGATACCTCCTGAGACAGACCGACTGTACCTAAAGCATATGTCCCTCCCGCCAATTGCAATGTCATGTGTTATTGTAGAAGTATTTCATCTTGTAATATGAAAATATGGACCAGGGGAATTACCCTCCACCCTTAGGTAGAGACATGCCTGTTATACACTCGTGTGAAACCTGCCCAATACCCTGGTAAATGTTTTCGTGTATACCCCATTTTGACCTACAATTCTTAAAATATACAACATAGACATTATACCAGCTACCTGTCTCTATTAAAGTTTATAATACGATCATGACCTACCACTATTAAATTATACATATTTTCGATCATTTATACCAGTGACTTACCACTATTAAAATATATTAAGATTATTTATAACCCAACAGTGACCGACCTTATACGATAATATCATTTATTCAATTATTCCTTGAGTAATATCACTATTCAAGAAAACAATTAGGCATTTATACAAGTGACCTGCCACTATCAATGGGTACAAAACGGCATTTATACCCATGACCTATCACTATTAAAATATATTTGGGCAGTTATAACAGTGACCTACCATTATCAATGTATTCAATAGCGCATTTGTCACCGCAATCAATGCATACAATATGATGATCTAGTGCTTTGACTTTTATATCAGGGCTATAAAGTAATTATAAAGAAGTTATTTAGAAGATATACCGAGTGTACTTACAATTTAGAGGTTTCAAGAGTAGCAAACTATGGTCCAACGTAGATTCGATACCGAATTACGGACCAATCAGAATGGAGGATTCCAAAATGCCATTCTGGAATCAAAGACATGACAAACCCAACAGTTTCCAGTATAATATATTCGTTGTTCCTGTTTATGGATAATTGGATTCTCTCATTTTCGTGATGTACACAATCCTTGGTAATATTTCAGCACTCAAACTGCTACATGTCCATCAACAGAGCAAAAAAGATACCTGTGTCGATTGACAAAAGTGAACTGATTTCATGTACATTAAAATACATAGGCTAAGTAAAATATAAATGGAGGTTACGCCTGTATCTTGACAAACATAAAAGTACTGATATCTATTAAACTTGAGCATTGTAGTTTCCGACATAGATTTTAGGTTGTCGAGATAAGTGTCTTCAAATCGTGCTTACATTATTAAACACCTTTAATAACTATAGAGAATCTTGCTAACGGAACTGTTTTTCATACAAATAAATATATTCTGAAATTAAATAATGCAACTTTCAACAAATATACATGAAGACATCTCTTCCACTTTTAGGTCGTGATTAACAATTTGCCTGTGCATATTAATGCACGGCGCACAATGTAAGTGTTTGCAAGTTTGTTTGAAGCATAATACACCTGTTTTCTTAATGTGAACAGCACACAGTGATTGTTTAGCTATCTGTTTCTCAAAAATCACATTTGTTTAAGCGTAAATAACGTTTATGCAATGGCATGGCTTGTGAAAATCAACGTCTACGCGCCCTGTCTGTGCTGCTAAGAGTAATTGCGCAAAACGAAGTTGCCAGACATTTTAATGTTCACCGAAACACAATGTCATCTCTTTTGAAGACGTTATCTTCAGCAGAGAAACACTCATGACTTGATACGTGCTGGTCGTCGATGTGTGACGTCACGTCAAGAACACAACCATATTCGGTTGATTAATCTACGGAAACCACACTAAACTGCGACATTAAAAGCTCGGACAATTCTTTGGTTGAGACCAGTTATTGGCAGAACTGTACGCAACCGTATCCGGGCTTGGTGGTCAGGCGTCTACAGGCGTCCAGGTGAAGGGTTTAGCGACGCCTTCGTCACTCAACGTCGTTTCAGTTTAGGGATGGAAGTGTAATGGTATGGGACAGCATCACAATTCATGGGAGAACAAAACTCATCATTGTGTACGCTACCTGGACAACTTCGTTCGAGATCATATTCTGTCCTTTGTGCAAATGCAGAGACGTAACGTCACGTTTCAGCAAGATAATGCCAGCCCGCACTTTGCACGAATTTTAACATACTTTTTGAGCATACCATTGCTGCACTGCCAGAAAACAGGCCTTGGATGAAATGGATCGACGATTTTGACAGTGCCAGAACCATCCGGCTATACTAACTAAGTTGGGCAAATCTTTGGTTGACAACTGAAATTATAACATTCAATCATCTGAGGTATTCAGTGCACGGCCGCTGCCTCGTCTGTATCAACGCAAATAGTGGTCACCCCCGATATTGACATTGTTACTTGAGTTGTTCCAATGCCCCTCTTGTCGATCGTGCTGCTGTTACCAGATATGGCTTTTGTCATTGAATTTGTTTTGATAAAACATTGATGAGACGAGTGACAAAATGATATTTTGTTACTTTCAATAACACACTATTTACACCACTTTATATGAAGCACAGTTATTTTTTTCCGCTAGTAGAGTTGTGATGTGTAGATGAAAGCTTCATCCACACTGGCAACAGCTGGTCTGCAGCGGTCATTATAGCTGCGTGCTATGATGTGCAGGTAGTACACAGAGACTATGTACAGATATCAACGCAAGTATATACGGATGTTCATATACCGTCGTTCAAACGATAATCCCCAATATGATTCACAATCGTCTATCGACTAAAATCTACAGAGCTTAAATATGATAGCGAAGCCAGCCAGACATTATAGACATTATTCGTAATCAATAACTTTGTCAATCCATATGGTAGTTCATTTGACCTACATCAATTTATAAAAAATACAATAACATGTTAGAACACTACATCAGCTGATCGCCAGTTGAGTATAGATTGTTAGTTGCGATTGAAGCCATGGGTGATGATTAATAAGTTGATAACTGAACTGTTGTTAACGCAAGGCTAATGACATTATCAATGTAGAGCTATTATGAAAGCCAGACTGACATGATTGGGCACTTAATAGTGGTATCAAGATAGAGCCTTCACTATATATTATGCTGTATGTGCAAGGTCGCTTCAAGAACTTTTCAGTTCTAGAGAATCTAGCAGGCATCTCCGATCTGGATAAATACCTCGCAGACAGTTGGATAGATTACCTTGGCCTGCGATAATGTGCTGAATGTAATTGTTGGTCGATACAGTGAACAGCTGCAGTAGTTATACAGTAGGAATGGTATATATATGCGGCGGCGCAACAGGGGACGGTGCTTCTATACTGTGACAGATGGCTGACTGTACATCGCACAGCGGGCGGCCACTGCACCGCCAGATACACTACTGCTGTACTGTAGGTGCTGTAGGCAGGTTGTGAATGGAGAACACTGCACATGCTACATCTCACACAGACAGCATTTCACCAGATACACTACTGCTGTACTGTAGGTGCTGCAGGCAGGTTGTGAATGGAGCACACTGCACATGCTACATCTCACACAGACAGCATTTCACTTCACGGCGAGGCAGGACCTCATCAGCTTTGTTTTCATATTTAGACGAACCATCTGCACTTAGGGCAAGGGGAAGAGGTGATCGACATACTCTCGGTCATTGTTCTTCCGCGTGTTATTCCTGGAAGCCGACTTGTGTCTTTCAAGACCCACTTCTTGACTCCTGGATAATTAACTTCTGGTTCCTGGACAGGTGAAGACAACACGGAGCCTTCCTCTTCCTCTGTTTGTTCCACACTCATGCTACTGCCGACATAGACACTAACAATGACCGTCATCGTCACCATCGTGTGCATCATCATCCTCGCCCTCTGCTCTAGTGGTGTAGTCGGTGTACCAACCAACCATGATGACTTTGTCGCTAACCCCGTGCATCCTTCGTAAGCATTATCTATCAATGTTTTTGGCATGCTTTTAGTAAATCCATCTGTTGATCAAAGACGATCGTGTGTATATTCATGCTAACACAAAATAACACATATTGCCATGTATATCTGTTTTATATCTCGACCTCATGTGCATTTTCTTCCTGTGCAGTACTAATTATATATAAGTGTTTATGTGTGCTAACAAATTGTTAACTACCGCACTGATTTCAGTTAGAAATAGACCCAACGTCTGCAGAAAGGTTAAAACAACCAAACATCCATCTATCGAATACCATATGTAGTAAGCACTGATTAGATATGGGCAGATATTGACATCTAAGTAATATGTTATCCAGACTAGTTATCCTAAACCGCAATAAAGTTTGACACGTTATGTCATAAATGTACGGACAGTGTTATTAATAGTTATGTTTGTTGGGTTAAAGGATTTCTAAGGTCCTTTGCAGGCTATACAACATTTGAAATTCTATTTTAATAAACGAGCTGAAAACTACCAACCAAATGCAAACAGACACTATATAACTCCTAAATGGTTCTTCTTGTTAACTTGTTAACAGGATTAGGAACCAACCATGTTATAATATGTCTGCATGTGTACATGTATTGGGTTGTGGTGGTATGGTGTTGTTGGGGGTCAGCTGAGATGTTTATTTAAAAAAAATATTTAAATTCAAGATTAACACTAACAAGCAATACACACTCGTATGCAGGATGCTCTGGAAATAACGTGTGATGGGTCCCGAAACAAAAGTTGGGCTACCTCTTTTCAACACGGAAATATAAAACATCCGTCTAGAACGAAAATCCCATTCCCGATCCATCGAGGATACTCCATGGTCAGAACGGCTAGGAACATGCAGTTATGTGTAGACAATAGTAGGAAGACTAAAAATAGCATGATTTGTCACTTGTTTATGTCGAATAAACATCAATTCGTATTCTGTACTCATCGACAGATTAGTATTATCCCAACTGCACTCGGTGAATTATTGAACTTTGTAAATGATATAACTGATAATAGTAATTGGCCGTCAATAAAATGTGTCAATCACGCCGGCATTCCGTGGTAATCAGGCTGCATGGGACTATGTTCATAAGGTCTTTCACCTTTGATTAATGTAGTTCTTTATATTAATCATTATATATGTCAGTTAGCTATTGCCCCGGTAGTGGTTCAACTATACAGCCTTCCATTTTAAGACCTTATTTGACCATGTACTTTAAAGCTCCATGACAATCTTTCTTGGTCATTTAGAATTGTGAAAACATGCAATCATTTTTTAGATTGTTCAATTTCCATCCATCTTTTCTTTTCCTGCTAGCGTCGTGTATATTACTGAAGTATTCTCCCAACGCTGTGGGGAGTAATCCACTATATGTTTGTGTTTATTATGTCTTTCAGAAAATGCGTCTATTAATGTTCATTCACAAATGATATCATTTTGGAAATCATTCCGCACTGTGCATCAGGGGATGATTCACCCAAAACTGCCTTCGTTGTTGCACAGTCGATTGATCGTCCTCCGCCAACATGACATCAATCACATTCCTTGCGTGCATATTTACAAAGGCACGTGCTATGCTAATAGGTTTCCTTCCAACCCAAACTATAAAGCCACTGAAAGAGTTGGCTATTGACGCTGATATTGATATCGGATGTACAAGGGCGGAACCAGCATTTTAAAAGGGTTGGATACCATAGATAATCTTCTCTCAGTCAATTTACTACCAACGACATACTACATTTGGTTTTTTTAAAGTGATCCATAAAATGAGTGATTTTACAAATATATGTACAATTTACAAAATGGTCGTACTGGTGAATACAAAAACGGCTCCAATCCCAACGTTTTCAAAGAGTCTGCACATATGTACATTTCTCAGGTGTCCTATTAATTCATTCTTCTTTTTCATCGTGACATGGACGACAGAACTCAGAGTGCACACGTACAACCCTCACAGGGGTACACACTTTCACATGGACCCAAACGTGACAGGAAGGGTGCGTGCACTAGGCCCACGACACAAACATAATTGACACACATCCTCGGGTTGGGGACAGGTTTATTCTGCCTCATTTCAACCTGTCCCTTGTAGACTAGAGGATGTCTCCTACCTCCTTCATCACGGCACTTGATTGCTCCTCTTGAAAAAGAGTTGAAGAGGCAAAGTTAATTCCGGTCATAGCAGCCAGCGTGTCAAAAGGATAAATGCCACATGCCTTGAGAGAGGCCTGGGGATTCACTGGAGTCAATGGTAATGAATACTCCTGACAGGCCAAATGACACATTGAATGTCTGCTTACTGAGCCGGAAACATGGTCGGGCATGAACTTGTATCTAACGTTGTTGTAAATCCTGCAAAACGGACCGAACTATCCGACATCCATAGGTTGCAAAACGTGGGATGTATGTGCTGGCAAGACAAACATAATAATATTATAATAATAATAAAGTTTATCAAAGGTAGAGATATAGGACCTATGTTCATCGTAAAGAAAGAGAACGGGACAGTCAGTAGACACAGTGACACTGTATTTCAGAAAGTGGTGCTCCAGGTAATAACAAAAAACTTCGGAATTTGACAATCCGGAATCAGAGATTTTTCCTGCTGCTCTAGGTGTCAAGTATGGTCATTGTACTTGACTTGGGATTGGTGACGGCTCTCGGTGAGACATGGTTGGATGATACAATGCAGAGTGGGGTGTGATGCTCCACTACTCCTTTTCATCTACGTTTGATGAAATTATTATAAAAAAACACTGAATGGACAATGGCTTGTCTTCTTTGGATCACTTGTCAATATGAATAGCTAAGTCAGTGGCAAGAGTTGCTACCTCCGTACGTGAATAACCGTATCCCAAATCAACCATGGCTTGAACGTGGATGACTAAATGTCTCGGCTCCACAATTGATAGCAGAGGTCCAGGGATTTCAGACAGTCTATTCCGATTTCTCCACTGGTGCAATCAAGCAAGATGGCAAACGGAACAGAGAAAGATAGTGCAGCCTTCCTCACCGACATTCCATCAAGTACAGTTATATTAGCTACATCTAGGGTCTCGGAGGACTATTGGTGGTATTTCCCTTTCTCAGTCGCCTGACCATTCTTCAGAACCTGTAAAATACAATACCTTACATTTTGGGATTTCTTTTTACATCGCGCATTTCTAATTTCACAAAAAGTAAGACATGGCCCGGCTTTCGATATCTAAAAAAACATTGCGATCAGAATCACGTGATAAGTCATGTGATTGTTTAAAGCTATGTGTAAACATGCAGATGGCAGGTTCCATCGGATTATGTCAAAAATTACATTTTTTCAGACTAGACATTTTGACATAAGTATACACACGTGTAAAAGGTCATATCTACCAAATCTTGTATCTGCTTACCTTCTTGAACTTGAATCGCAGCATATTGTCAGTCCGAGTGAAAAACGGAATTCAAAATGGCTGACCGAAAACAGATTACGAACGAAAGTACGTGACTGAAGGATATAGACATTTAGTTGGCAGATAAGTCCGTTGAATCTTCCTGAAGTTTATCCTCTTCAATGCTGCTGCTTAAACAGCAGTGTTCTACATTATGTAATCATTAAGTGAGTGAGTGAGATGTTTAGTCACATAAACAAAGACTATAAAACCTGTCGGCAAATGACAGTCACTAGATTAACAAAGATATAGATTTTAAACTAGCATGTAACTATAAAAATGTGATTACTCATGACAATACATTATAAAGATGGGCTATAGAACACCGGCAACCAAAGTTAGGCCATCATCCCTGGGACCATGGGGACTTACTGTACATCTGCTTCCTGCATGGTAGCCAAGCAGGATTTACACAATCCCTCTGGCTACTGACGATTGTTTGTAGGTTAAGATTGTTTGAAAACCAACACGTATTCTACGATTAAAACTATAGAGAGTATGATCATGAAATAGCTACTATGCCCCTGATATATGTGCAGTCCCAATGTAGTTCTATATTTTATGCGTATTCTATTTAGATGATGTTGAAACATGATGATGATCTAATTATTCGCTTATGTTCGTTCACCAACAAAGCAAGTAAGTGCAATAGAATAGTTAATGGAGATGGCACCTTGCAGTTATGTCCACAACATATTTCTCATACAGCAAGGCAAGGATTCGATTTCATTTGGCTTTCAACAAATCATTAGGCGTCATAAGCTATGATGATCAGATATAACTTGTGGTCACTAATCGAATGTCATTTATTGAATTACCCTAATTGCAATAATTTGATTGAAACCTAGATCCCGAAGCGAACGGATGTTCGTATTTCTGCTTTTGTGGGAGTTTGACTAAAATTGATGTAGATCCGTTTTCTGTTGTTCATATTTTGATGTATACATATATCTACATGCCTATAATATTGAAAATATAAATACCGTTTGACAGCTTTGAGGTCGTAAAATGAAACTCCATTGACTTTTGTTTATTGTGAACTGAGTTTGGGACGCTGACTGAATAAACACCAACTATCAAACTACATATGTGTGTACAATTTCTACACTTGATGTTCAGTTTATATTCTCAAAGCAGAAATTAGCGATATGTTTCAATCCACTAAACTGTATAATTATTATTATATAACCCCCATGCCCTCCTTGTCATCCATGCCCCATGGTACAACCAACATACATACAATGTACGTGCCTGTTTCATCGTTCACCTGATGCCAAGTTTGTGACTTTAATGTAGTAAGTGGTGGAACCACTCAGTTCCTCTGATTACCTGAACAACAAGATGACAAACAATGACTAACTGACTAATGCGACCCCGACAAGATGCCTACATTTCGTCATTAATTACAAGACAAAGTTTATCTCATTTCTGTTGATCAGTGTTCCCAAGTTACTTCGCCAATTATTTCTTCTCGCTCGCCCCAGCATGGTGTGAAAACAAACGTGGACAAGGGTCGCCATGTTAAGTCGTGTTCAGAAAGCTGCGTACGCACCGCTCAACACGAAAAAAAACCAAAAACACTTTCTTAGAGGCTTGGGCCAAGTGATCCCTTCAACTATGATACTGACAAGGAGACAGTACAGGTGACGGTGCTTTCCTTCCAATCGGTTACGAACCTCGTGGGCAAGATATCATTCTTGTAGAGCACTGTACGCCTGTATGGAGTTGCGATGCTTGATGAGATTATCGTTACTTCATGAACTTGTTAATCTATCTCTGATGTTCAGTAATCATATGGTAATCCACGAGCAGGTGTACACGGCAATTCCCACAACAAGGAATGAGCTGGGCTTTTAGCCAAGACCTTCTAATTCAAAGATCAGTGTATTAAAAGCACGTTTGTATTCGCGCCTTTGCCATGATGCGGACACTACATATGTATAGCAGGCAAGGGTCTTATAGATTGTACTCAACGTCTCAAAATGCGGAATTGCATTTCTGATTGTGTATAGCTGAACGTGACACGCCAAAGTGATTCACAGGATGGAGAAAAGTTCATTGTCGTTACGTGCCCCACTTATGCTTCATCTAAATACTAGTATATAAAGACAAACAGGCAGGCGTGCTCTACTTTAAGGTCAGAAGGGATAACACAATTGCATCGCCTTGCAGCCCTTGCTGCTTATTCGTGCTGAACCGAGTTCTCCTGTACTACATAGCAGTACAGTTAATATCAAACACGATCGATTCATATCTGCAGCTAAGAAATTGTTTGACGATAGTAGATTGGATTGTATATTATTTCATTTATTAATGTGAGCTTGTAAATACAATAAGAGCTTTCATCACCCTTTTCCTTAACCATGCATCGAGTTTAAACAAAGCTCTTTCATTGCTCTTGAAAGTTAACTTACAGGCAGTGTCCATTTATCTTTCAGATACAGCTATTGTGTATGTAGTTCTGGTTTTACGAATAAGACAATACTTGTATTTACTTCAGGGAGGAAGCTATTCGGAAGATCCTGGCTACCTATGATGCTAACGTACCACCCAACTTTGAGGAAGGTGAGTGTAGGGTCAGCATGTCAGTGTGTGGCAGGTCGTTAACGTCGGTCAGCTGCAACGGCCATTCATTGGAGTTGTTTTTCGTGATCTTTTCATCAGTAAACTCCGTGTTATTATCATGCATACGTACACAGAGAATGACCATATGTCGTGAGTGAGGGGTCTGAGTTGAATACTAAAGTATCTAGTTACTCTTAGAACTCGGACAGTGTAAGTGATGATACATTTGTGAAGTAGGAGGCGCCTCGAGATGTGAGCGTATGGGGATGTCAAGGAGGGCTGGGGAGCAGTATGTTTCTAGTTTCTTATTCTGACATCTGCACAGATTGAAATGTGCGTTATCAGCCATACAAAATTAGATAATAAATAGTATTACATTATTACGTTATAATTGACATCTAACCTATGCATAATTAATCATCAGTATAATATAGCGACAATACCATTCCTTTGTTTGTGTATCTTGTTATGAGTTAAGATTAAGGAAATATTAAAACATTTTAAAAAATGTGTGCATAAAGCATTGTAGTTTATATTTTCCCTGTCATCAGCGAACTAACTGTGATTGTCTGACAGTCGTCTACGCCGCTACATGTCTTTGGTTCTTGCAGATATTGCCACCCGGGTCACCGTGCAGATATACGTCGTCAGTTTTGATTCCATCAGTGAATCGACCATGGTAAGTGGCAACTGCAGAATGAGAGTAGGTAGCTACATCTTGTTCCCAAATATTTCAGGTCAAGTCATAAGAATATTAACTAGACACAGGTTCCTAGGTGGTGTTATTAAACCTTGAGAATATTGATGACATTAATATTCCGTTACTTTGATCGAAATAGGCAGAAAATCCATTTCTATATAAGTTAATCACTGAAGTAGTAGTCATCTAAAGTACTGTATTGTCAGCAAAGCCCTATACACCGTCCGTGTCTAGTTCAATACATAGCACCAGGTTGCCATCGTAATCGAGTGATGATCATCGACTTCCTGTCAAAGGACATGGCATTATTTGGCAAACACGCTACAATACACCAACAACATTAAACACGCCCTCGATTGCGCTTCAGAACATAGTGCAGCATATTGTGAGAAACAGGTCTCATAAACGTGAATTTTATCACTTTGCCTGATACCGCACACTCAAAATCTATAATAGTTATAGTGACACATTGTGCATAGTATCTGGCCACTGTTTGATGTTGGTGTTGTGTAGTGTACCTCAACGCAATTCACTTACATGCACGCAGAATAGGTCTATGTCATGAGTTCACTTAATCACTAAATAACGAACTATATCCAATTATAACGTGATATAGGCGTATACTGGTATAGAACTATCCAGGCTTAACATGTAAATGCATGCTCTAGTATAGAACTATCCAGTCATAACGTGGCATATGCATGTTCTATTATAGAACTATCCAGTAATAACATGAAATGTGCATGCTCTAGTACAGAACTATCCGGTCAAAACATGATATATGCATGTTCTAGTCGAACTATCCAGTACCATCTATAGAGCCCTTCAGCCAGAAAGACTGAAAAAACGTAAACTTTTTCTGTTTTATTAAATGTATTATTATTTAGCAATATCTTATCTTTTAAATCTGATCAAAGAACAGGTACACATTTCTGAAATTTTGATGATTATCAACTTCCGTTTACAAGATTAAAATCTTCTCATATATCAATGTTTCCATTACATTGAGCATGTCAAATACTTCTCTACGTGAAAGAAACTCAAACTTCAGGGCAACGTTTAAGAAAGATATAATAACATTCCAAGCTTTTGCGTTGCATGTGGAAACGCAATGAGTTGTTAACAATTTTAAATGATATAGTTGTAAACAAATCTCCAATAGATATCAAATTGATTTTGTATGGTAATGAAGATCTCTCAGTGCCTGAACATAAATGGATATTTAATGTTGTCAAAATGTATATTTATCCAACTAAAAGCTTTACTACTCTGTCATATTTTACCTACTTCTAATCTTAATTAGTATATTCCGCTTCTCTATCCATGCATTCTGACTGTTGTAATATTGTAACTGGGTGTCCAAAATATGATAGAGAGGGCGTTCTAAGATGGACAACCTGTACCCAATCAGTTTCACAAGTGAAGATTTTATTTGTTTATTATTAATCCATTTGGTAGACGGTTTATCACTTTGCCTGCTACCGCACAATTGAAATCAACAACAGTAATAGATGTTGCTTGCTGTATCTGAACACAACCGGTCACACAGTCAAAGTAACGGTCACACAGTCACAATGTTGCAATGTCACACAGTCTCATAGTGGCACAGTTGCACAGTCACACAGTTACACACTCGAACAGTCGCACAGACGCACAACCTCACAGTCACACAGTCACGCAGTTCCACAGTCACATCTCCGCAGTGTCAGACAGTCGCACAGTCACAATGTCACAGAGTCATACAGGTGCAAAGTCGCACAGTCACGGTCACGCACAATCGCACAGGCACACAGTCGTACTGACGAACATTCACACGGTTACACAGTCGCACAGCTGCAGAGTCACACGGTCGCACGGTCAGTCGCACAATCGTTCAATCGCACATTCGCACACTCGTACAGCCGAAAACTCACACAGTCACACAGTTGCACAGTCGCACAGTCAGACAATCGCACAGTCGCATTCACACAGTCACCATGGCACACAGTCGCACAGTAGCACAGTCGCACAGTAGCACAACCACAGTCACACAGTTGCACAGTCGCTTGCTCGCAATCACAATGTCGCACTTTCGCACAGTTGCACAATCACACAGTCACACATGCGCATAGGCGCACAGTCGAAATGTCGCACAGTCACAGAGTCACACAGTTCCACAGTCACATCGCCGCAGTGTCAGACAGTCGCACAGTCAGACAGTCGCACAGTCACAATGTCGCACAGTCACACAGTCGCACAGTCACAATGTCGCACAGTCGCACAGTCACAATGTCGCACAGTCACACAGTCGCACAGTCACAATGGCGCACAGTCACACAGTCGCACAGTCACAATGGCGCACAGTCGCACAGTCACATTGGCGCACAGTCACACAGTCACACAGTCGCACAGTTACAATGGCGCACACTCGCACAGTCCAAATGGCGCACTGTCACACAGTCGCACAGTCACAATGGCGCACAGTCACGCAGTCGCACAATCACAATGGCGCACAGTCACACAGTCACACAGTCGCAGAGTCGCACAGTCACAATGGCGCACAGTCACACGGTCGCACAGTTACAATGGCGCACACTCGCAAAGTCCAAATGGCGCACTGTCACACAGTCCAAATGGCGCACTGTCACACAGTCGCACAGTCAAAATGGCGCACTGTCACACAGTCGCACAGTCACAATGGCGCACAGTCACAATGGCGCACAGTCACAATGGCGCACAGTCACACAGTCGCACAGTCACAATGGCGCACAGTCACACAGTCGCACAGTCACAATGGCGCACAGTCACACAGTCGCACAGTTACAATGGCGCACTGTCACACAGTCCAAATGGCGCACTGTCACACAGTCACACAGTAGTACTCCCCAATTTTATGTCGTCTCATTCCCCACTAATCAGATTTTTTTAATGTTCTACAACTAGTTTTAAGTCAATCTGTGATATATTGCTATTTATTATACTGTTCTTTGTCGACAGTTTTTATAAATATTTTATAACAACTTGTTCAATCACATTATGGCTGAAATATTTCAGACGTGACTTAAACTTAAACTCACTCACTCACACTGTCGCCAATCCGCAGAGTCACACAGCCACTCACAATCGTACAGTCACACAATCACACTTACTCGCAACACATTACGACTGTTGAGATACATGTATTCCAACCTACGTGCGTGTATGGATCTATATTTCTGCCTCCTGCAGACAACACCATGTGTCCGTTCTATCGAATCTGAGTCCGTGTGATCGACAGGTGAAATATTATGTATTATGTATCAAATATGTGAAAACACGTTTGCATATCCGAACAGGTCCCAGGTGCCAGGATGTATGTAGCCTATGGAACCTTAATGCTGCCGCAGTGGTAGTTACTAACTGATCGCATTGTGACTTTCAATTACATTTCACACGCTAAAACTATTAACAGTGGTTAAAAGCATGAAAAAAACAGATACAAGTCAGTTCAGTTCATTTTTTTCAAAATTGTATGTGTCAAAACAACACAAGTCCCTTTCAAGGTTATCGCTTTATGTGTATATGTAAGTGAAATATACATGGGGAGTGGGTGGGTATACACTGTTAACATCTCACACTGAGCACAGCCTCAGTTGAGTAGAATCTGTTGGGAAATGTCTCAACGAAATTTCTCTTCGAAATTGAAATAACAGATATGAATATTATATATGTTTGTGTCGGGGCCTTTATTTGCCGTCGGAAAGCATCCTATGTGACCTGCGTCGATACGTCGTGCACATCTGCCGTTAGTTTACCTGTGGCCTTGTGGTGACTTATGCAATGGAAACCGTTTTGAATAAAGAGTTTTTGAAATTAATCTCATTCAGCTGTTCCATATTTATGTATAAAAGACATTAATTCGTTATGATTTCCATATTTTGATTGCCATTATCAGTCAAATACAGATCATAAAACACGACAGAGAAAATTCGTTTCCTATTATTCTCATTGTTATGCAACTTAATGTAATTATTATACCGCTGTAGGAAATTACTCTTTCAGGATTACTCACTGACGATCTTCCTCCGTCAAACATGGCTCGACACACGCCTCAGATACGACTCCCTGCCCAATATAGAGGCGCTGGAGTTGGACACACGCATCATGTCCCAACTCTGGGTTCCCGATCTCTTCTTCACCAATGAGAAGAGAGCCGACTTTCATGCAGTCACGGTGCCAAACAAACTGATGCATGTATATCCTAACGGGACAGTACTGTATAGTGCCAGGTGGGTACCAGCACCTGCACAACGCCATGTTCGTTATGGTCAGTTGCATGTAAATGGACAAGACTCGCCAACATCAGCTGATGTATGACTGCCACGTTCAATGGATATGCACGAACACCAATGTAGTTTTATCCTGATGCATTAAGATTTCATGACTGCCTATGATGAATTGGTATACATTATGAGAACTGTACATAGTAGGTGAACAATGTGCATATGAAATCAAGGCATTCATTTCTCACTAACAGGGAGGCGTTTAATGTACATTGGCATGCCACTTGGAGCTGCCAGCAACATTCAGCACAGAGAGGTCAATATTGGAGCTCGACTCACATCTGGTCATGTATTTGTTTTATCACTCAAGTGGCAAATTGCTTTGACCTTTTCATCGTTAGTAAATCTATCAGAAATCTGGGGTCAAATGGAGCGCATTCAGCTGTCGGCGTATGTGATATATGCCAAGGGGCTAATGTTTGGTGTTAAAGGATTAGACGTGACATGGCTATTGCCATCATCCTGGGCAGCTCTTACCATGACTATCTACATTGGTTGTATTGGTTTAACTGTTATGTTTGGTGTGTCTTCACGTCCGTTCATTTTGTTTATAAATTTATAAACAGCAGGGCAAAAGAAAGTATACACCCATGTCTGATGGTGGCTAATAATAAAACAAACAAGAAATGGTTAATCGATGGTGATGTATACAATACGAGTGTTTTGGAGCTTACGTTTGCAAAGTTTATCATGTTTTGCTTAAATCCAATTTTCAAGTGCATACTTTCTTTTGTACCGCAGTTTATCACAGTAACTCACTGACACGCCTCCTTCCCTTCGTCCTCCATACCTTGAGCAGCCTCCACAACAACCACGATCACCACCAACAACCACCCCCATCCACCCCCATCCACCCACTACCCCCACACCCGCGTTGTAAGATATACAGAAGTAAACATGTTTTATGTCACCACACTCATACTGTGCTACACAATGTACGCTACACACTGCCGTACATGTATGCTCCTAGATGCCGAGTGCAATGTTATACCACGTTGTCCTGGTCCAGTCGTTCTTTTCATCTCGTTGTTCTGTCGGGAAATATGCAGATCCCATCAGGCACTGTCAGGCGATATTAATGACTGTTGATTTCCCTGCTGCTGCTTCTGTTTGGGGGGGAATTATGTAAATACACTCACTGCATTGATTTTTTCCTTCCTAACGGTTGGCTGTAATGAAGCATATGAGTGTATAAAGAGTGAGTGAGTTGGGTTTAACGCCGCTTATAACAGTATTCCAGTCATATCACGGCGTGTCAGCTTAATGTGGGAGGAAAGCCCGAAGTGATGCAGGTCTCAGGCGTTTAACACTTCGGTGAAACCCTGCGAGCACGGGTATGGTGCTTGCACACCTAGAAACATAATCGGGGCGAACCGGGATTCGAACCCACAATCATAGGTTTCTGGCGTGCCCTAGGGACACAAATCTGCACAGCGAATCGCGGCGCCTTAGACGACTGGGTCACCCGTGCCCCCAGTGCATAAAGAAATTCATACATATAATGATTAACATTAATGAATAACAGCATACAATAGAACGCTTAATTCCTGCTATTTACGGATCATATCCAAATAGTAGCTAGGGCATGTTTCTTAGTCCAGGTTCACTGTTTGCGACTACATTTACTTCCAGAATATCGATGACACTCAGTTGCGACATGCAGTTACAGAAATACCCGTTTGATGACCAAGTGTGTTCAATACTCCTAGAAAGTTGTGAGTAATTAAATGTCACTTATCATGATGGGGTATTCTTCTTTAGGATCGCTGTTAACTGGTTTGTGGTTGATCTAACCTTTGCATACAATATATCTATCAAAAGTCACATTGAAACAATATACCCATCACATGAGTTGAAATCAGAATTCTGTCTCCTCCATGATGCCACCATAACTCATCTTGTCTGTCATGTGGCCGAGTGTTTGTGTTTCACGTTAAGGGCGTGAACTTGAATACAGAATAAGAACAAGGTATGGTACAAATTCAAATATGTTTCAGATGGCTACTCGACGAAGAACGTCGTCTTTGCGTGGCACGAAAGCCCAATAGTCAAAAGGAGTGACCTGTCCCTACCTCAATTTGACCTCGTTGGCTGGACCACCGACGACTGCACTAAAACATACGTCAGTGGTAGGTGCGAGTTTTATCTCATACAGGTAGACATTGATGAAACATATAAACTGACTTACCTTGTTCATTGACGCTCGTTTTGTCGGTAGCTTTACAAGGTGATTTTACTGAAGCCACCAATGAACACAAATAAATATTGTTACTAAAGCAGCAACTTGCTTAATTAAAGCTTTGTCTATGCATATCCTCAATAGTTCATGATCAGATATGTCTTCCAAGTCAGGGTCGCTTGTAATGACGTACGCGTGTTTGGTGTTTCTTTCGATATTTGGGGTTTTCCATACATGTTACAAAACAAATATTTGCCAAAATCAAGAACCCCTCAGGTGATAGATGTTTACACATGAACGTGTGTGTGATAAAGGGTAGTATTCGTTAAAAATGATATATGTGTCCCTCACAGGACGCTTTCTTCAAACATAGCTCCATTGATATTTCAAGTTCCACAATAGTTCTATTATTGATATACACTTATGTGCTAGCCAGAGAGCTGGCCAGACATGTCATGGGAACGTCACGAACTGGGTCTGGGTATTCAAGATGAATATAAATGGCAGCCTGTCCTCCAGTTCATGCTCGTTTGATGCAGGGTATGCAACGTCGGAGTAGTGCCTGCTTGGGCAGAGGATAGCAGTTTCTATAATGATCACATGTGGTTTTGACACCCCTACCAAATGAGTACATTTCCACTTCCTGGCATTGCAACAAGTGGTCACGCGACTGATGATCTTCATGTCCTTTGTGTCACTGTTTTCCCAATAGCAGCAAATTTAGAATATATAGAGACATGAGTCTTTGTAGGAATAACACCACATAAATCGCTTGTGACGTCAATGAGCACTGCATAACGTCAGTTTAGAACTACCAGGCATAAGTACAAGGTAATATTGAATACATAATCAAACATGTAGCCAGTGTAAGTTACTTTCAGAAGTCAACGGTCTATGTTTGGATGCTGCTTAAATCATGATTGCTCAGCCTTGGCCAAGTGGCTCTACTTAAGAACTTGATTCAGTATCTTTTTTGTTCGCATTTATAAAGACATTAACGTAAAACAACGGTGTGCACATTCAAATATGTCAACAATGATAACGGAATAACTTCATAGACTTCTCAAGAGAAAAAAACATGTATAAGATTTTTTCATATGCTTTAAGGAATATTATGGGTTTTAGCTTTTAGTATGATCGTTTTCTTGTTTATCTGTTTATCTTAAACTTTGTGTATTAGAAATTGTTTGTGATTGCACAAAAAGTCTCTCATAACCTGTAATGGGCGGTTCATACACATGTACTGAAATTTTGATATGTATTATATATTGTAAATATCAGGTGAGACTGTAATAAAATATCTGTCTGTCATTAACAACAATGCGAAATCAGTCACCCAAAACGCAAGCCCCGTTCACCCTATTATCAGCCAATAAGGATGCAATAATCAGCTTGTGGGCATGGCGTAATTATTTTTCGGCAAAAACAATTGCTTGAATAACCAATGAAATGCCAAGAAATCACTTGCAATTAACATATTTGCAGGAAACTACACGTGTATCCGAGGGGATTTCCAGCTATCCCGCAACTATGGCTACTACATTGCACAGGTGTATGTCCCAAGTGTTCTCATAGTAATCTTATCCTGGATGTCTTTCTGGCTGGACATTGATGCAACGCCTGCTCGCATCTCATTGGGCCTCCTCACAGTCCTCACCATGACAACACAGAGTTCCGGTGCACGTGCAAGCCTCCCACGTGTGTCCTATGTCAAGGCCATTGATGTATGGATGGCCATGTGTTTGGTGTTCGTTTTTGCAGCCCTGCTTGAGTTTGCTTATGTCAACGTCATGGCAAGAGTCGAGCGACGTCGCCAGACAATAAGCGGAAACTACCGACCTCCAGAGTCGGGGGAGGAATTGGGCGTCGAGGTAAGCAGATGTGTTCATGCAGTGTCTTCATCATGTTATATTAATGGTAATGGTCATGTCATGGTTATTTTGTGATGAGGTACATAGTTTTGTCTACGTAGTGTAGGCGGTAGTGGTGAGAGTCATTCATTGCGATGTACTTAAATATCAAGTGCAGTGGCCCAAATAATAACTTGTTTTCTCCAAATATACTCACTCCCGTACATGCATCGCATAAGTCCAGTTGAAGGCAGGACAAGTTGGTGGGACAGTGTACGGAGTCTGGGGAGGGGGAGGCCATAAAGTGGTCGTGAAGATAAAATGTGTCAGTATCTGTATACTTTTGACATATGCGAGTCATATATACAAAGGTTTGTTATATATAGGTCACTCCAATGGAGCGAGATGATCTGCAACGCCACCATTCGCAATGATTGCAGTATAATAACTCTCGGAATAAAACATGCCATGTGCGGTTTCCAGTCGTAGTTTTGGGTCCACTCCCCAATATAACAGCATCCTATTATAATGTTTATACGCCAGCAAGTTGATATATCTGTTGGCTTTTGATACGTTCAATTTGTAAACGTGGCCTGTGCATCTAATCATTCGTTCTGAATTGCGGGCAAAGATGTAATCTCCCACTGTTTTGGCGTTTCAGCTTGAAAAAGAAAATGGTACGCGAGCCCAGGTCCGAGGGCGTCGTGGGCTGTCAAAGGTTTCAGTAATGAGACAAAAGGCACGATTAATGGACAAGATATCCCGCTACGCCTTCCCCGGGGTGTTCCTGGGCTTCAACATTGTCTACTGGATGGTATACATGCTATGGGAGAACTCAAATAGCCAGTAGTGTCATGGTCTCCAGCAGATGACAAAGTTACCTCCCTTTAATGGATTCTGATATACGGAAGTGCTACGAATACCTCGCAATGAAAGCTCAATGTCAGCCTGCTATTTACCTAGTAGATAGTTCTGCAATATGGATTGCCTTCCGTATAAAGCAACGTGTATCAGAATCGCCATGTGGATGTGTGTAGATGTGAGGTGTGCTTCCTGAATCGACATATGGGTGCTAGAGTTCTCTCCCATTATGTGATTTCACAGATGTTGTGAACAGTCCAGAACGCTCTCAGTGGTGCGTTACATTGGAACAGAATTCTACTTGCATGTATGTGATGCGTATTCTATGGATGGGTTTCGATTTACATCAAACGTGATTGAAGTTTACCATTTTTTAAGTTTATCTTTCTTGGATTGAATTATTTCTTACAGAGACTACCATACACGACAAGCTGTGTTTAAGATGTTTTACAGACATTCATATCACACAGTGGCACCTTCAGTTTGTGGTGGAACACGTCCCTGTTTGACTAGCCCCAGAGGGGAGATGATAGAATATCCTGCTTTGGAATACTTCAGATAATACTACAGATATAATAGGAACTGAGTTATTGTACACATGAAATTCAGTAGGAAGTCGTATTAATGCAAGTCCCACCTTCACTGAACACACACTTGTTCTACTTATCTAGCGACTGGTTTTCTCAAAGACCATTGTTCACTGTTTCCGATGTTTTTTGTCGGTGACTGTAAAGCATGCAGGGCGTGTATTTTTAGATTTCAAACAATTCGTTCTTCAACCCTCCTTACAAACATGGATGTTTCTTTCATGTTGACTTCGGTATACTGTAAACCGAAAATATGACAGATTATTGATTGCATATTTCATTATTTTTGTAATAAATATTGACGGAATGTTATATTTTTTGCAAAACGAAAAAGCCTCGCATTTTACAATAACCGATTCGTCACAATGGCAAGGACACAGGTGAGGGCTGTGCTCTCAAAGGTGTTTGTCATTTGGGTACTTTGAAGAACAATTAAACTGCTGTATTGTTCTCCAAGCAATACATTTTAGAAATAAGTGCTGTTCGAGCTGCATAAACAGGCGCCTGAGGGTTGGTGGCCTCTCTGTGGTAACAATGAACAGTTGATAGAACATTATGGCCCGGCACGGTTGTGTTCTCCAAGCTGTACCTTTATCTCCGATGTACTGTCACTCGTCCTCTGTCTATGGCCAACCCGTGGGGGGCCCGGATTTGGAGAGATCCACAATAACCTATGCTGGTCAGACGAGGCGACTTAATGGATCAGGTTGATAGGGTGTCAACGTACCCCGAGGGAATGGATCGTTGGTCATAATATTAATGACTGGATTGTCTGGTTCGGAATCAATTATTTACAGGCCGCCATCATATAACTGGCATTTTGCGAAGTGCGACGTTAAGCAACACGCAGTGAGTGAGTGGGGTAGTAGTAGTACCAGTAGTTACAGTAGTAGTAGTAGCAGCAGTAGCAGCAGCAGCAGCAGTAGTAGTAGTGACCACCCTTCAATTTAGTGGCCTCTTACGACAAGTATAAGTTGCGGGAGGCCAATATTCTTTCTCAGAATCCTGCAGTTCTAAAACTTTAATAGTAATAGTAGTGGTAAAATATGCAGTAGTTGCAAGAGTTACAGTAATAATAGTGGTAATTTATGTAGTACTAGCAACAGTTATAGTAAAAGAAGTGGGAATATATGCAGTAGTAGCAACAGTTATAGTAAACGTAGTGGTAATATATGTAGTAGTAGCAAGAGTTATAGTAAACGTAGTGGTAATTTATGTAGTAGTAGCAACAGTTATAGTAAACGTAGTGGTAATATATGCAGTAGTAGCAACAGTTATAGTAAACGTAGTGGTAATTTATGTATTAGTAGCAAGAGTTATAGTAAACGTAGTGGTAATATATGCAGTAGTAGCAACAGTTATAGTAAACGTAGTGGTAATTTATGTAGTAGTAGCAACAGTTATAGTAAACGTAGTGGTAATATATGTAGTAGTAGCAAGAGTTATAGTAAACGTAGTGGTAATATATGCAGTAGTAGCAACAGTTATAGTAAACGTAGTGGTAATTTATGTATTAGTAGCAACAGTTATAGTAAACGTAGTGGTAATTTATGTAGTAGTAGCAACAGTTATAGTAAACGTAGTGGTAATACATGCAGTAGTAGCAACAGTTATAGTAAACGTAGTGGTAATATATGTAGTAGTAGCAACAGTTATAGTAAACGTAGTGGTAATATATGTATTAGTAGCAACAGTTATAGTAAACGTAGTGGTAATATATGCAGTAGTAGCAAGAGTTATAGTAAACGTAGTGGTAATTTATGTAGTAGTAGCAACAGTTATAGTAAACGTAGTGGTAATTTATGTATTAGTAGCAACAGTTATAGTAAACGTAGTGGTAATATATGCAGTAGTAGCAAGAGTTATAGTAAACGTAGTGGGAATATATGTAGTAGTAGCAACAGTTATAGTAAACGTAGTGGGAATATATGTAGTAGTATCAACAGTTATAGTAAACGTAGTGGTAATATATGCAGTAGTTGCAAGAGTTATAGTCAACGTAGTGGTAATATATGTAGTAGTAGCAACAGTTATAGTAAACGTAGTGGTAACATATGCAGTAGCAGCAAGAGTTATAGTGAACGTAGTGGTAACATATGCAGTAGTTGCAAGAGTTATAGTGAACGTAGTGGTAACATATGCAGTAGCAGCAAGAGTTATAGTGAACGTAGTGGTAACATATGCAGTAGCAGCAAGAGTTATAGTGAACGTAGTGGTAACATATGCAGTAGCAGCAAGAGTTATAGTGAACGTAGTGGTAACATATGCAGTAGCAGCAAGAGTTATAGTGAACGTAGTGGTAACATATGCAGTAGTTGCAAGAGTTATAGTGAACGTAGTGGTAACATATGCAGTAGCAGCAAGAGTTATAGTGAACGTAGTGGTAACATATGCAGTAGCAGCAAGAGTTATAGTGAACGTAGTGGTAACATATGCAGTAGTTGCAAGAGTTATAGTGAACGTAGTGGTAACATATGCAGTAGCAGCAAGAGTTATAGTGAACGTAGTGGTAACATATGCAGTAGTTGCAAGAGTTATAGTGAACGTAGTGGTAACATATGCAGTAGCAGCAAGAGTTATAGTGAACGTAGTGGTAACATATGCAGTAGCAGCAAGAGTTATAGTGAACGTAGTGGTAACATATGCAGTAGTTGCAAGAGTTATAGTGAACGTAGTGGTAACATATGCAGTAGCAGCAAGAGTTATAGTGAACGTAGTGGTAACATATGCAGTAGCAGCAAGAGTTATAGTGAACGTAGTGGTAACATATGCAGTAGTTGCAAGAGTTATAGTGAACGTAGTGGTAACATATGCAGTAGCAGCAAGAGTTATAGTGAACGTAGTGGTAACATATGCAGTAGCAGCAAGAGTTATAGTCAAAGTAGTAGGTGGAGGAGAGGAGGCCAACATTCCCGTCAACTGCAGATACACTGTATCAGTGACTGCAGCAATACAAAGTTGCCGGCACAAAGAACATCTAGACTTGTTTCTTGATCGGGTCGGTATTGGCACCTTATTATACAGCTTCTACTGTCACACCAGTTAAACAAGTTGATCGTTATGCAAGCACGAGAAGGAGGAAGTTGTTGTGAACTCTGGAATGGTCTTTGTGGAGTTGGAGACGAACACGGACGACGCACAGGGGTCGCCCGATGACAGGGAATGAGACTTATGTACAATTTTCTGGAGATTCTATTCCATGTATTTGTCATAATAATAATTTCTAAAATCAGGACTTTAATTAAATTTCCCACTTTCATATAACAACGTTTACAGTCGTAAAGAGATTATTTATTTGATTATCTTTATGTAACTGGTACCTGAAAAGTACTGCTGTGCCCAACGCCGTCTTGATCCACTGTCACAACTGTTTCATTCTAAACACTCCACTTGTAACTCAATAACATACTTCATTCTAAACACTCCACTTGTAACTCAATAACATACTTCATTCTAAACACTCCACTTGTAACTCAATAACATACTTCATTCTACACCCTCCACTTGTAACTCAATTACATACTTCATTCTACACCCTCCACTTGTAACTCAATAACATACTTCATTCTACACCCTCCACTTTTAACTCAATAACATACGTCATTCTACACACTCCACTTGTAACTCAATAACATACGTCATTCTACACACTCCACTTGTAACTCAATTACATACGTCATTCTACACCGTCCACTTGTAACTCAATAACATACTTCATTCTACACCCTCCACTTGTAACTCAATTACATACTTCATTCTACACCCTCCACTTGTAACTCAATAACATACTTCATTCTACACCCTCCACTTTTAACTCAATAACATACGTCATTCTACACACTCCACTTGTAACTCAATAACATACGTCATTCTACACACTCCACTTGTAACTCAATTACATACGTCATTCTACACCCTCCACTTGTAACTCAATAACATACTTCATTCTACACCGTCCACTTGTAACTCAGTAGCATACTTCTCTCTTGGCAGCCGTTATCGAACGTAGAGTAGTATTTGCCATACAACGATTCAGGTCTACTTCTTGTCTCCTTTGTAATGTGAATGTCTGAACTAGCTTGTCACACATTGACTGATAAAGGGTGATAATTACAGAGTATATACGCTACAGGTGTGTGCTTATCTTTTTCAGGCAATCTAGCCCTACAATCCAACAATAAACCATGTTCATACACCTGATACATGAGAGCTCTATGACATGGTTTTGGACATACCGCTTAAATGCACGAGGTCAAAATAGTTTCCAATAGAAGACTTATCCAAGATCACCATTCACTGCCCGTCCTACCAAAGGGTGTGTGTGTGAGTTGGGTTTACGCCGCTTTTAACATTATTCCAGTTATATCGCGGCGTGTCAGCTTAATGTGGGAGGAAAGCCCGAAGTAATGCAGGTCTGAGACGTTTACCATTTCGGTGAAACCCACGAGCACGGGTATGGTGCCGACAAACCTAGAAACATAATCGGGGCACAATCATAGGTTTCTGGCGTGCCCAAGGAACGCAACTCTGCACAGCGAATCGCGGCGCCTTAGACGACTGGGCCACCCGTGCCCCCTCCTACAAAAGTGTGAACCCATGAACCATAACATGGTCAAACGGGTCAAACATTCATGGGTAGCTGGATCCATTCCATAAATGTACCGGGTTTAGATTGGGAGGTCCCTCCTCGGCTACGGCTTGACAAAAAGTTACAGAAAATACAAAGACTTAGCATGTAACAATGATATCGGAATATATTGCCGAAATACAATATTTTAGCTCTGTTTCTTTGAATAGATCAGCTAAATACAGCATTGTGACACTGTTACATGTCTACTTTATACATCGGATGTAACAATGCACGCTTTTGGCGGCAGGAGAGGTTAAATGGCATGGTGGTGGGATTGCATTTCATAAACGTACCGATTTTACTTAGGGAGGAGATACCGTCATAGAAAATAACTGTGTGTGTTTACTTGGTTACAGGCCGGCAAAGCCACATTTCGAAAATAGATAGCCCAAATTGATGTGGCTCTCGCGGCAATGGTTATGGTTGCGTTAGTGTATAATGTGGCTCTCGCGGCTATGCTGTCAAAACATGCTTTGTGATTCTAACAGGTTACCGTATATAACAAAACAAGTCTTGTTTTCTCATTTTTTATTCAACAAGGATAACATATTCATCAAAACTTTACATTGTTGAATATGAATAGCATATGAATATCATAATGGATTTAATGTCATTACTGCAGATAAAGGAGGTCGCCCACGTGCTCAGCATATTCCATCTCACTCAGGTGTTGGTTCAGGAGCTGGATCTTGAGGGACGCAATACGTGCATCGTTTGCCGTGTACTTCTTTCTTCGTGAAGGTTCTGACCACTGGTGAGAGAGTCTCAGGACTGCAACCTCTTTGAGTGACTGCTCTCGCTGAAATAGCTTCACTACCTCGTAGATGTTCGGGTGGCACTTCTTGGCAAGTTTCTTTATCTTGTTGTGCCACCCTTCCGGGTGATTGTTGGTACAGTGGCCTTGGTTTTCGAAATGGTTCTGGCATGAAGGCCCCTCCTTGAACCCAACTGGTTGTCACGTAGTCCATATAAGCAGTCACTTTAGGGCAAGCAGGAGAGTCAGCAATGGCATCAAGCCACACATCATCCACTTTGTCACGAGGTACCAGAGGGAGGGCAGCAGCTCTTCTCACCAGCTTCTTCACCTCCTTATCTTCCTTATAGTCCATCACCAGACCTTCTTTCTGCACCCTCCTCCAGATACATTGGGTGAAGTGAAAGAAACACCCTCTAACTAATGTCCCAGGGACACTCATTTAAAGGTATCGGTAATCGGATTAATTAATTACCCGCTAGAATAGGTGAAATGCTCTCAGCTGAAAATGTGGTTCTACCGGCAATAGCCATTTCTGAAATGTTTACTTAACACGCTTGAATCGTCATCATTACCAATTAAGGTTACTTTTTCAGCGTTCAATGCTACTGTGGAACCCATTCGACAGTGTGTCACTAGCCGTGATGTTACTGTGCTTAGCATCACCCCCCCCCCCCCCCCTTGAGGCACCTCTCAAGCCCAGTGGCATGTGGTCTGATATTTTCTTTAGAATGTGATATTTTCTTTTATTTGCACAGTCAGTCTCATGGTAATGTTTGCCTCTCGTTGACTTAAAGGTTCTCAGGTGTTCAGTATTCAGTAATGGATGACAGCTTATACTTTCAATGCTTTGTAACATCACAACCTCAGAAACAAACATAAGTTGCGACAACTTCGACACAAGAAAATGTGTGAAGATGATTCTCAAAAACCACAAGTGAAAAACCACGCATCGGTAAGCAAAGGCGTGGTCATGGTTGGAATGACTGCAGCTTGAATGGGCGGGTCGCAGGGTTTTTATTGGAGTAACAATACATAGCTGGAATGAATAACACATGTCTAACAATATCTGCCCAAATCTGTTTATCACACTGTCGTGGGATTAACGATCATCAGTAGATAGATCTTCCTCCTCACTTAATGGAATGTTGTGTTTATCAAAAACATCATCGAAGTTAGCAATTTGCTTGTTTTGTTCACCTGTACTTGCATTCATATCACCACAAATAACTGTGTAAGAATCACTCATTTCTGAAAGGTTTTCTAAAAAGAACTGATCAAGCAGTTTAATGTTACATTTAGATGTCCGCGTTTCGACGTCTTATTCCAAGGCGATAGGCACGGATAATGTCATATGGTTGCCACGTTTTAAAAGTTACGTGTTCGTTAAAAATTGACATCACCGTTTCCTGACAAGCCATCGATTTCTCACCTTCTGCTTCGGGTACACCATGGAGAAGGACATTATCACGTCTGCTAAATGATTCCAGTTTGTCCATATCCTCATTAATCTTAGATAGACGTTCTACGACAGTTTCAATTTTATCAGTAACAGCATCAATGTCAGTATACGTAATGTCATGAATATGTTTCAAGTCGTGAATATCAGATTTGATTAGTGTTACTGTTACCTCAAGTTGACCACATTTAGAACTGATTGCGTTCACTTCAGTTTTTAGAGCTGCAATTTGCGAACTTAAATCCGATTTGACGTCGTGTAGCTCCGATGGGATAGTATCTCTTACTTCTTCAAGAGAGATTGGTCCCGGGTTTGTTTCAACGTCGTTTGACCACAACATGATCTGTGTGATAACCCCCACGGGCAGCACGTCGACACCGAGACGACACCTTTCACGTGCAAGCCAAGAGTGGTAATTTGTCAAAACTGGGTCATAGTCCATCGCAGTGACGTCACATGATACACGGAAAGAGGTTTTTTTCTTTTGGCAAATACCGATCAAAGTTCATTTTTCCGAAATGATTGAGTAGGGCGAAGGATGCAGAGAGGTGCCTAGCAAATGCAGTAGTGCAAATGAGCAGTCTGAAATGAACATCAGTCCCAGAAGCGAATGGCGAGTACTCACTGTCTCTGTGCAGCGTCACTTGTCGTGTTCCCCTCGGGTGGATAAACGAGCTAATTCTGGCTCTATACACATCAATCGATACCATGTTGATGTCAGGAGTGTTGATCATATACCAAGTTATCTCCTCGCGTTCGCAGTGTAGTATTTGCGTCCTACCTTGGCATATTTTTGAAAAAAGTTCAGCTCGACATTACATGGTGTTATCACATCAAGGGACGTAACCAATACATGGTAGTCAGCTCCGGGACAAAACATATCCATACATGATAGTCAGCATCGGGACAAAACATATCAAATACATGATAGTCAGCTCCGGAACAAAACATATCAATACATGATAGTCAGCTGCGGAACAAATATTTCAATACGCGATAGTCAGCTCCGTATCAATACATATCAGTACGCGATACAGTCAGTCTCGGGGTAATATTTATGAATATGCGATAGTCAGCTCCTGGAAGATACCCATCATCATGCTGTGGAACACCACTCGCAGTATGGAGCCTGTACATGGCCATAACACATCTTAGTGTCAGAAAGCATTGATGCCTCTCGTTGACTAAATAGATTCTGTATTCGTAATATTTGAAGGTCTATAGTTATTAGTAAATGGATGACAGGTTACTTTTGTTGCTTTGAAACATCACAACGTCAGGAACAAACATAAGTTGCAACAACTTCGACAGAAGAAAAACGTGTAAGACGATTCTCATATGCCAATTTCCCATCTCACAGAAGGTGTTATTGTCTCTGTGGCTCGTGTTTTTTGCGTATTTGTTACATTATAGCAGACATGTGAAGCATGTGGGTGCAAAGATGCAAATGGCATTGTTCCCAAACAGATCAGCAGTTATGGATGAACTACCATCAGTTACAAGTGACCTTTGTGAAAAACCACGCATCGGTAAGCAAAGGCCTGGTCATGGTTGGAATGACTGCAGCTTGAATGGGCGGGTCGTAGGGGTTCTATTGGAGTACAAATTGAGAGTTATATGTACTCCAATTGCATTTAGTAAACCTACACTCGACCAGACCCTGGTGCTAAGAGCGAAGGTAAGTTAAATGTTGCTGTAAAATGTGTTCAAATATCAGATTGTTAGGGTCATTCTAACATCTACATGTGTATGATGAGTTTGTTGGTATATCGGGATGTCTTTTGTGTGGTTGGTGTGAAAGGTGTAGTTGGGTGTATTCGTGTGATGGTACACCAAGAGCATCGTCAACCCGCAGACATGTTTGTGTGGTACTGGTTCGAAACGTTTAAATATGAAGTCTTCCACATAATGGGAATGTATTTTATAACCATCTCTAACCTACAAATAACTCCTATCATACATTACATACATACCAATGCATAGCTACACTAGAGCCAACATACCACATGCTATATGATTTAGTTCCATGTGTAACAGAAGCAGTTTACTTCATTGCCTTATATAGACGTTCGGAGGCAGATTGAAGTCAAAGGGAGTCCATAGTTTGCCGCGCATCAAATAATAAACTTCCTGTGAACTGTCGTTTAATTTGTAAATACTGCTGTTGCAGACATTATCAATTCCTTCTTTTAACAATCTCACTTAATCCGTGCAACTGACGACGACACAGCAGGCACGTATGTGTGTTCATTTAGGATATTGGCGACAATGGCGGTGACTAACGTGCTTCTTGTCAGAGAACTGAGAAGTTTCGAAAGAAGATTCGATACCAATCATACTAGCCTCCACTTAGAAATGAGTCCCTGGATATCGTAATCGTCTGTAATCGACCAGAATTGGATTCACTGAAACAAACTTGGGACATCCAAAGTGGTCTCGTGGTCGCATCAGATCTGCTTTTATTAGAGATTTCTTGCGATTATGAAAGGAGTTTTGTCGCCTTTGTTTACTGTACACGGAAATGTGTCCCAAATAGTAAAGCAGAAACGTAGCCTGATCTGGGCCTGATTACACCAATACGCTCCTAGGACCAGGGGCTGGTCCAGTGTATGTTCACTAACCCTATTGTAGAAATGAAGCAGCGGGACATGGCCAGTTCACAGAACGAGAAACCGGTTCCCGCCGACAGGAAGACTTGATTGTGTAATCGGTTGACTGGGTGGAAGGTGAGAGATGTGTTGAGACGGTCATTCGGGCTCTTGGTGTTTTCCTACTCTAGTGACGAAACGGACTACGCATCCAATATCGGAAGCTGAATGGTCAGAAATTCACATTTTTTCTTGACCAATGAGCCCTGAACCTAAATACATTCTTCAACACAGTCACCATGTTCGATGTCTCCTTTGTCAAAGACGCCCATGTCACCACCCATATGGTCAAATCAGTATATCTTGTAAGTTCACATATTTGGTTAAAGTGAAATTCCCTGATGTTCAAACACCCCACCACCACCCCAACACCCAAATAACCCTATCCCGCATTATATCAAGATGAAAACTTGGTTTTTTTCAAAAACCTCTAATAAGTTAGGAGTAGCACTTGTTGGGGTGTGCCAGGTATTCAAAACATGTCGGAAATTATGTAAATATTATTGTCCTTGTAATTGCTCCATAGACATGTTACTCAATCCCGTCTACAATGTCAGTACACGTCATTCCTTGTACTGTTACCGTGCTAATTTCAAACAATGTGTACTTTTCTCCAAGTGACCATTATTACCGTGCTTATTTCAAACAATGTGTACTTTCCTCCAAGTGACCATAATTACCGTGCTAATTTCAAACAATGTGTACTTTCCTCCAAGTGACCATTATTACCGTGCTAATTTCAAACAATGTATACTTTCCTCCAAGTGACCATTATTACCGTGCTAACTTCAAACAATGCGTACTTTCCTCCAAGTGACCATAATTACCGTGCTAATTTCAAACAACGTGTACTTTCCTCCAAGTGACGATTATTACCGTGCTAATTTCAAACAATGTATACTTTCCTCCAAGTGACCATTATTACCGTGCTAATTTCAAACAATGTATACTTTCCTCCAAGTGACCATTATTACCGTGCTAATTTCAAACAATGCGTACTTTCCTCCAAGTGACCATAATTACCGTGCTAATTTCAAACAATGCGCAATTATCTTTAAGTGACCATTGTTACCATGCTTATTTCAAACAATGCGTACTTTCCTCCAAGTGACCATAATTACCGTGCTAATTTCAAACAATGCGCAATTATCTTTAAGTGACCATTGTTACCGTGCTTTTTTCAAACAATGCGTGCTTTATTCCAACATTGATTGTGTTCTTTCCTCCGAGTGACCATCATTACCTTGATAAGGTTAAACGGCGTTACACCCAACTCACCTAATGTTCCGTGGTTAGTTCATACACTGAGTTAGTTCGTTTCAATGTATGACATTAAAATGCTCGGTCCAAGTGACTAGATGGCAGTGGTATGGACTTCATGTTTATGACTAGAGGAATGTGAGAGGGAGTTCATGTTCATGACTAGATGCAGTGGTATGGATATGTGGTATTGTTTTCATGTTTCCACCAGTGATAAGGGTTTCACGTTTATGATTAGATGACAGTGATAAGGATTTCATGTTTATGACTAGATGCCAGTGATTGGGATTTCATATATAGCATTAGATGACAGTGGTAGGGATTTTATGTTAACGTCTAGATGCAAGTGATTGGGATTTCATGTTTATGACTAGATGCCAGTGATTGGGATTTCATGTTTATGACTAGATGACAGTGATAGGGATTTAATGTTTATGACTAGATGACAGTGATAGAGATTTAATCTTTATGACTAGATGCCAGTGATAGTGATTTAATGTTTATGACTAGATGCCAGTGATAGTGATTCCATGTTTATGACTAGATGCCAGTGATAGGGATTTAATGTTTATGACTAGATGCCAGTGATAGGGATTCCATGTTTATGACTAGATACCAGTGATAGTGATTTTATGTTGAAGATTAGATACCAGTGATAGTGATTCCATGTTTATGTCTAGATGCCAGTGATAGGGATTTAATGTTTATGACTAGATACAAGTGATTGGGATTTCATGTTTATGACTAGATGCCAGTGATAGTGATTTTATGTTGAAGATTAGATGCCAGTGATAGTGATTTCATGTTTATGACTAGATGCCAGTGATAGGCATTTAATGTTAATGATTAGATGCCAGTGATATTGATTTCATGTTTATGACTAGATACCAGTGTTTCGGATTTAATGTTTATGACTAGATACCAGTGATAGTGATTTCATGTTGATGACTAGATACCAGTGATAGTGATTTCATGTTTATGACTAGATACCAGTGATAGTGATTTCATGTTTATGACTAGATACCAGTGATAGTGATTTCATGTTTATGTCTAGATACAAGTGATTGGGATTTCATGTTTATGACTAGATGCCAGTGATTGGGATTTCATGTTTATGACTAGATGCCAGTGATAGTGATTTCATGTTTATGACTAGATGCCAGTGATAGTGATTTCATGTTGATGACTAGATGTCAGTGATTGGGATTTCATGTTAATGATTAGATGACAGTGGTAGTGGTTTAATGTTAATGATTAGATGCCAGGGATAGTGATTTCATGTTTATGACTAGATGTCAGTGATAGTGATTTCATGTTTATGACTAGATGCCAGTGATAGTGATTTCATGTTTATGACTAGATGCCAGTGATAGTGATTTCATGTTGATGACTAGATGTCAGTGATTGGGATTTCCTGTTAATGATAAGATGACAGTGGTAGTGGTTTCATGTTAATGAGTAGATGCCAGTGATAGTGATTTCATGTTTATGACTAGATGCCAGTGATAGTGTTTTCATGTTTATGACTAGATGCCAGTGATTGGGATTTCATGTTTATGATTAGACGACAGTGATAGGGATTTAATGTTAATGATTAGATGACAGTGGTAGTGGTTTAATGTTAATGATTAGATGCAAGTGATAGTGATTTCATGTTTATGACTAGATGCCAGGGATAGTGATTTAATGTTTATGACTAGATGCCAGTGATAGTTATTTCATGTTTATGACTAGATGCCAGTGATTGGGATTTAATGTTTATGACTAGATGCCAGTGATAGTGATTTCATGTTTATGACTAGATGTTAGTGATTGGAATTTCATGTTTTTGACTAGATACCAGTGATAGTGATTTCATGTTTATGTCTAGATACAAGTGATTGGGATTTCATGTTTATGACTAGATGCCAGTGATAGTGATTTCATGTTTATGACTAGATGTCAGCGATACTGATTTCATGTTTATGACTAGATGCCAGTGATAGTGATTTCATGTTTATGACTAGATGCCAGTGATAGTGATTTCATGTTGATGACTAAATGTCAGTAATTGGGATTTCATGTTAATGATTAGATGCCAGTGATAGTGATTTCATGTTTATGACTAGATGTCAGTGATAGTGTTTTCATGTTTATGACTAGATGCCAGTGATAGTGATTTCATGTTTATGACTAGATGCCAGTGATAGTGATTTCATGTTGATGACTAGATGTCAGTGATTGGGATTTCCTGCTAATGATTAGATGACAGTGGTAGTGGTTTAATGTTAATGATTAGATGCCAGTGGTAGTGATTTCATGTTTATGACTAGATGCCAGTGATAGTGATTTCATGTTATGACTAGATGCCAGTGATAGTGATTTCATGTTTATGATAAGACGACAGTGATAGGGATTTAATGTTAATGATTAGATGACAGTGGTAGTGGTTTAATGTTAATGATTAGATGCAAGTGATAGTGATTTCATGTTTATGACTAGATGCCAGGGATAGGGATTTAATGTTGAAGACTAGATGCCAGTGATAGTTATTTCATGTTTATGACTAGATGCCAGTGATTGGGATTTAATGTTTATGACTAGATGCCAGTGATAGTGATTTCATGTTTATGACTAGATGTTAGTGATTAGAATTTCATGTTTATGACTAGATGCCAGTGATTGGGATTTCATGTTAATGATTAGATGCCAGTGATATGTAGTTGTGCGATACATCGGACTGCAACTTGGTTAAAACAACGCTTTTACAGAGCTGCTGTTATGGGACAAATCAGGTTAAATTGAACGTGATAGGCTGCTGTTTGGTCACAGTCAATGTAAATATATTCACCTATTGTCGATCGACGGGAGAATGGAATAGTGTCACATAAAGGGGGTTCATAACAATGTCACGTGATAGCATAACATTAATCACATTTTTGTGATGGGAGGTTAGTGTCAACTGTTGAGACGTTTATAATCTTTGGCTTCAGACATACGTCAACTACAACAATCATGCTTTTGTTCCGGGCATCGAAAATAAATCATCCTAGGCCTGTTGATCGAAAGGAACGCCTTTCACAAAATGTCACATAAGGCATAACTTACAATCATAGGATTAGAAAGAGGTTGGCTCTCAGTGTAACACCACATGATATTAGGTATTGGTTTGATGAGTCCCCTTTGCAGAATCTGTCAAACAAACGTAGTCTTTCCACAACCACTTCATCCCAGGAAGGAGGAGGGGCATGGGGAGGAGGGGGCATGCACAGGAGAGAAGGAGTGGGGGTGGGTGGGTGCGGTTGATGCATCTTCTGTGTTTCTATGTGGAAAAGTGTTTCCTATATTCTGGACAAGATGGTGACTCCTTGGTGCCTTGAGTAACACTGGGTCTCAGTAAGATGTGTGTGCTATGTAGGGTGGCGATGGTTTCCTAGTGTCTCACGGCCTTATCCGTGCTGGTGGAGGTAGATGAACAGTTCTCTCATCATCATCATCATCATTTATTGTATTCTGGCCATAGGCCCATATACATACAGTAACATTATATATATACAATTTTGTACATGTAGAAGTATAAACATGCAGACTTATATGCACAGAGCTGTGCACGTGTACAATTTTGTGAAAAATAAGTCGCAACACAACACAACAAGAAGAGATAAAAGCATTTGATTAATGAAGGCAAATAACCTAAAGAATAATTAAACATCATTTGTACAAAGACGGTTGCGAAGTCGTAAACCATAATTAATGTATAGGATAGTATTCTTTTGTTGCTCGTTAGATATTTCATCAAAACGGAGGAGCTTGATTAGTGTATTGATGTTTTGGGGTAAACCTTGTCTCTCGTGTCTGAGACATCTATTCTCGAAATCAATTTCCACACGTAGAAAGAGGTAACACATGTTTTCGTCCCGTTTTATCACGTCTTTCATTTCACCTTTGATCCTCTGAACAATAGCTTGCGCCACAGATTTTACTTAAAAATGAACGCGTTTACCATGTTCATAGTCCGTCGACATCACCTTCGCCTAAAAACCAACAACCCGAGTTATCACAATGATATGATAATCACTTCCTAAACAGGAGATGGACATTGTTGTTCCAAATGGAAAGCTAAATGTGTAAACCTCGAACTGTTTTTTTTAAATTTTACAGCAACAAATAATACGGCTATCTCAATAAAACGCAAGTTGGGTTTCATCAAAACTCTGTCCTATCGATGATAAAATGTACTAGTTTCAATGTAAAACACCTTAAACGGTGATAATAGGTGTTGTGTATGTTACATGGCTTACCTGATCTCGCGGGGCATCTTCTCCCCAATAGCCCAACGAGGTCAGGTGCATATGTGTTCACATGTATTTTCATTCATAAAGCGGAGTAGATACTGCCGTATTATCCTGATAGGGAGCCGAGCGACCTGTAGGTTATAGTGAGGAGACAGTTATTTCTGTATTACACAGATTAGAGTTCATTTGTTCGAATACATTGTTAGATACGTGTACGTTCGATGGTATACTTGATTTATCCTATTATTTTTAACGAATAACTCCAAACTTTTATATTTGTATCGAAATGGACCGAGATGGTTAAGGTTGCCTTCAAACGACTTAATGGGCATATTATAATTAAGTCTGTTTTGGTAGACTAACTACACATTCATCAGCGAGTCTTCTCGGAACACGCACCCGGTCGATTCTAACAAACACCATCGCTACGAATAGAGGACAGGTTAGCGAGCGGCTGTTTCAAACTTTCCATTTCCTTGGCGCCATGGCACTTACCATCCCTTGTCCCAGCTTCATCGAGCTTGAGGGTCGAAAATCGTAATATCATAGCAGATATCGCGTTAACGTCTATCATTTTCAACGTCTCATTTTGGAATGAAAACATAAGCTCAAACAAGCAGATTAAATAGATATTTCTTTCAATATATATGTATAGATATAACAAAATCTTCAATCAATGTTAATGAATTATTGAATACAATGGGGATTTGAAATCATGCAATGTTTGAAATAATGACAAAAATAGTTTGATAAATACATATCATTGTGATGTTTGTCATTTGTAAATGCAGATATACCCTGAAGAAAACCCTCGCAAAAGTCATTTTTAGATGTATATTTTATATATGATATAAATAATCAACAAAAAGTAATCGATTGTTCAAACTTGGTACACATTATTGTAATTGACCCAGGTTCCACATTACGCACATGGAACAGTAGATTTTCAAGGTGTAGGTCATCTGTTCTCAATATCATGTATGGCCTCCACTAGAGTCCAAAACTGACTGGCATCGTCGTCCCCTGGAAGCATTCACATCCCGAATTGTAGCATGGGGAATGGTCACCCACTCTACCTGCAGTGGTTGTGACAACTGTTACTGACGTGTTCACAGTCGTTGATCCAGTGCATTACATATATGTTCGATTGGCTTAAAATCTAGAGACCTGGAGGGCCATGGCAGGACCTGGATGTTGGGATTCCTGGAAAAGGCTGTTGTCAGTCTTGCCGTGTGAGGTCGGGCGTTTTTTTCTTGGAAAATGACGTTCGCTTGCTGCATAATGGGAAGGACGCGTGGCCGAAGAATCTCATCCGTGTAACTTTGTGCCGTTAACATCCCAAGAACTTGCACCAAGTCTGTTCTACCACTGTAGGGATGGCTGCCCACATTATCACACTACCACCACCAAATCTGTCCGCTTCCTGTTTGTAGTTTCGTGCGGCGACGCCTGTAAGCACATCGTCTACCATCCGCAAGGCACGGCGAAACTTATCTCCATCGCAGATGAAGGCCATACTCTGTGACCTGTGACTGTGACCGACGATGCAGGTCCGTCAAAATGACAAGATGATTCTCTTGTTTGCAGTCGGCTGTTGACGTTGTTGCGTTAATTTTTCCAACTTTTCACCAAATTTCTGCAGTAGCTCATCCTTTTCCATACAAATCAATCCCCATCCATGCAGAAGTAACCAATCCATTTTAGGTATTAATATTGTACGGATGTCGGCGATACGTTTTTCCTACTTTTGCGTTTCCTTTTTTGCGGAGTATATTATATGATAAAGTGATGCATTGGCTTCTCAGTTTTGAAGTAAATAATACAAACAATAAAACCTGCAGACATGCGATGTCGAACTCAGTTGAACTTTTGTGTTGTATTTCATTGTTGAGGAATGCTTTTCGTAGCTCTTTATGATTTCCCGAGCAGTTTCCGTGCTGTTGAAGAGTAGCTTTATCGAAGGTCGAATACCTAAAAACAAAGGTCGTGTCCTTAATCTTAATTATCTCTGATGCCATGCATAGTGTTGCCTCAATGATGATACCCCCAACTCGACTTGATCCAGTGTATCGTAAATGATCTAGCAGCTGGTGTATATGCAGGGAAATGATGCAGAATGGAGATGTGGAAGAGAAATCATAGATAAGGATTATGTGAGTGAGTGAGTTGAGTTTAACGTCGGCTAGCACGGTATTCCAGTTATGTCATTGCGTTGCTTTATGATTTTTTGTAAAGATAGAAATATGTGAATTATGCAATAACGGTGGTCAGTGGGTGGTCATCCAATGACCACTCGAAGCTGCGGACGCGAGTGAGATGTACACACTGGCTCGATAGACAAGCTGTGAGGGCACTGGTCAGTGGTGCAAGGTAACAATGCTTATCGATGCAATAATGAATACATCAAACGTCCATCACTTATCTCACAGAACAACACTGGAGGCATAACATATTCATCTTTGGTATGAAATTGGTCAAGTGTCTGAAAAAACTATATGTGATAAGGTAAGCTGTGTGTAGTGATTGAGTCTTTTTTGTAAAATCTGAATACAATTAAATTAATGTTAATGAGTCAGAGATATCAGTTATTTGCCACATTAAGCAACGTATTCACAGAGAACGGATAAGTGAATGTCTTTTACATACATACATACCACGCATACATATACATGCACCTATACATACACATATATATGTCCAACATTAGGACATGGATATATATATATGTATCCATATATATATATATATATTTCACAGCGAACTGTCAAACATCATGTCTGTGTGTGACAGGGTGACAGAAGGGATCTCGGAGAGGTGTATAAACTCGGACGGCATGAACAGAGCAGAGACAGGGGAACTCTGGGAAGCCATGGCGCTCACCACACAGGCCAACTCACAGGTAGAGTCACATTTCTTATGTCAAGAGATTATTCACATAGGGCGTCAATATTCTTTGACTCCTCTGCAGCTAACATATATCAACATATTTCACTAATCTACTGTACAACAACAGTACAAGTTTGTTAATGGAAGTTTCGTAGCAACGTATTCTGGTGTGTTCGTGACACACTGATGGAGCGACAGGGATATATAGCTAGACTGAACATAACGTGTCGTGGGCACGGATGGCCCAGCCGTCTGTGGTTCCGCTGTGTGGAGTCCCTTAGGTGTATCAGAACCCAGTGTCGCTAGATTATATTTGTGGGTTGTCAGCTTCCAATGTGACATGTGGTAGTGGGTTTGTCAGCTTCCAATGTGACATGTGGGGGTGGGTTTGTCAGCTTCCAATGTGACATGTGGGGGTGGGTTTGTCAGCTTCCAATTTGACATGTGGGGGTGGTTTGTCAGCTTCCAAAGTGACATGTGGTAGTGGGTTTGTCAGCTTCCAATGTGACATGTGGGGGTGGTTTGTCAGCTTCCAATGTGACATGTGGTAGTGGGTTTGTCAGCTTCCAATGTGACATGTGGGGGTGGTTTGTCAGCTTCCAATGTGACATGTGGTAGTGGGTTTGTCAGCTTCCAATGTGACATGTGGTAGTGGGTTTGTCAGCTTCCAATGTGACATGTGGGGGCCGGGTTTGTCAGCTTCCAATGTGACATGTGGGGGTGGGTTTCACCAAAGAGATCTGAGCCTGCATCATCTGAGACTTTCCTTCTACAGTTAGCTGACACGCCGTCTTGAACGGGAATAACGTTCAGATGTTCAACCAGATTACTATTTGTTTTCAGTTTGAATAAGTACATTTGTGGCATTTTCCTTGAATCCAAGCTATGCTATTTAGTTAAATATTACAAAATGCGTGGAATACCCAAAGATTTATACAAGTGCTGCATGTGAAGATATATGCATCTTATATCGTGGATACATTTAGCAGCACAGCAAATTAAATTTCAGACATCAACAATGTGTGTGAAGGCATTCGCCCATATGCAATAAAATACAAAGCCCTTTCCATATTCATAAAAAACTCTGTTAAATACAGAGTCGATTGTACGATTCCGAATATATCATGAGCATGTGTTTATGAACAACTATAAAATAGTGATGATACCAAGTACCTGCGAAAAGGTGAGCCACCACCTGTGGCACCCGTCACAAACACATGCAGAGGCAAGAAAAGCAAAGTCAAAAATACAATGTAAACAAATTACATGGATTTTACGTCATGTTTTTGTGAATGCATTATGATCATAATATTGCAGAGGTCTTGATTAATCATTCTGAGTTGTACAGAATAAACTTTGGAATGTATTAACAGTTGGAATTTTTCATTATAATTCTGGTAAATAAACTTTACGTAAGTCAATATAATGTTAACGGATCAATACGAAATGATATTCATCTTCACGACATATATTGCAAACAGGACACATACGTAAACATGATTTGATATATTGTTTCCTCCCCTCGTTGTATCGTGAAGGTAAAACATTACATGTTAATTCAATAAAAACATCGCGTATATGTTTGCCATTGTAAATACTCAAGTATATTTCAGGTTCAAACAAGGTTTTATATTCTATATACCTGACATATCTGGTGCTAATGTTGAGTGTTGACATCCAGTTAGGATGTATTCCATCTATAAGAGACGTTTTTGATACCCTAATAAAAGCTATATTGACCCCAACAGACTGGTTAAACCATACAAATTCGAAACCATGCGGGAATAAAATGTTACGAACAGATTCCACCCAAGTGTTATGACCAATGTTGTCGAAATTCATCCTTCGTGTATTCTGATTCATTTTGTAATACGGACCTGAGCATTGACAAAACGCGGGTAGCGACAATATTCACCGGAGACAATGGCATTTGGCGTTTGTTTTTGTTTTTTTCACCTTTAAAACACTTTAACATGCCAAAAGATGAATTCGTTCTTATTGTTCAGACTGCTGGTAACCCCATTCTTCTGAACCAAAGGGTATTGGTAATATCTGTGTTTAAAATATATTAAAATAGTTTTGGTTCCATCATTCCAGTCTTTTTTTAATTTATATTTATTTCCATTAAAGTCCGTTTTTTTCCGAGATTTACTAGATCAACAATGCAGTTTGTCGTCTTGAAAGTAGAAGAAAATGTTACACCCAAGTCCTCATACCTGTTAACTGTGGACAGTGGGGTGTCTTTGTATGTCCATTTCTCCCTGAAACAACAACATAGTTAATCCCCATGTATCTGGATAAAAACAAGAATATTAACCTGGGTCTGTAAACCCACAATAGATTCTGAGTCAAGGATGACGTCATCTGCAAATGACATTAACAAAATTTCCAAAAATATCAGAATATAATTGTATGTCATGTTTCCCATTTTATGTATAACTTTTACTAGCTCTTCTATGAAAAGCGAAAATAACAAAGGGCTAAGTATTCAGCCTTGGCTTACAATGAAATCCTAGATGGGACATTGTCGTATTGTCGTACTGTTGCATTGTTACCCTTACAAAAACAAGCAAAGGGTGTCAAAATTAACCAAAGCCCGAGAATGCGACAATGCGACAACGCGACATTTTGGCCATTTGTCGCATTGTCGCGTTGTCGCATTGTCGCACTTTGAATAACCTGTTTTATTTTACCAAAGGGCCACAAAGCGACAACGCGACATTTTTCAAGCTCAAAATATTTTGCGTTGTCTCATTCTCGCCCCATCCAAAATGTATAAAAAGGTGTTAGAGTTCGCGACAACGCGACATATTGATAATATTGCATTGTCGCATTGTCGCGTTGTCGCAGTTTCGATTAACGGTGCTCATATGTAGAAAGTGAATTAATCTACGCATGCACCGAAATGGTTATACTCCTTTTCAAACTCCAGTGGTCTTTCGTTAGCTCCAATGGTTCTAAAACCAAAGTAGCAATGGCTATAAGTGTTGGTTTTCTGAAAATTAAAACAAATCTTTCATCGTTGCTTTAGTTCATATATCGTTATGTTCTGTGTCGGTTGTCATAAGCCATACGAGTTTTCACAGCAAGAAACAAACACTTTTCATTTCTATTTAACTTAATTCCGGTCTCCGACATCATTTCAAATCGATGAGAGCGGTTGGCCCTGTCGTGTGGCTGTTACCCTTCTAGCACATTACAGGCGGCTTGGGTTTCACTGTATTATGTAAACCACATATATTGTGACTGATAGTGTTAGAATGACGGGGCACTGTCGATATAACCCTAAATCTGGCAGGATTAGTAGAAAATTCAGTGATATAAATGATTTCATTGGATTCATCAAAAAGGACAAGATCAGGTTTGTTGACCTGGATACGTCTGAGCTTTTAACAATATTTCAGTTATATCGCGGCGTGTCAGCTTAATGTGGGAGGAAAGCCCGAAGTGATGCAGGTCTCAGACGTTTACCACTTCGGTGAAACCCACGAGCACGGGTATGGTGCTGACAAACCTAGAAACATAATCAGGGCGAACCGGGATTCGAACCCACAATCATTGGTTTCTGGCGTGCCCAAGGGACGCAACTCTGCACAGCGAATCGCGGCGCCTTAGACGACTGGGCCACCCGTGCCCCCTGGATACGTCTGAGGCTGTATACGGGCCTATTCCAAAGAATTTTGCATTTGTCATTTTCCATGACGCCCTCTACATATTCTGGGTCGTAACATGGATGGACCTCTGCGTCAAAACCACAAGCATTGCGAAGACAGTAACAAAATGATTGAGCCATTCCATCATGTCGCTTAAGATACTGTGTTTGTGCCAAATAATCTACATTTCGTATTTACATTTTGATACAAATGTATTCATAGCTTTCGGCCATGGGAGCTGTGCCAATTTACACTTGTATAAAACCACATCATTGTTATGTCTGATATGTATAAAACCACATCGTAGTCGCAAAGAGCATTATTGTTTATGCCCCTGCATGTGTTACAGGTCGTTAATACTGACGTCTCCAGCGCTGTGGTGATCGCCATGAAGACAATAGCGGGGAGCAAGGCTGTCGAGAAGGACGTGTTACCTGGCAACGACAATATACCTATTGATGACGGTGATGATGACGTCAGTGACGTCGAGGACGAAGAGAGAGCTAACTGTTGTTCCAGGAAGATCTTGTCTTTCCGGTCAAGCCTGCGGTCCTCTGTGCCAACATGTTTTCGAGACAGATGTGAAGCTGTTATAAAGTTATCATTGCTGGTTCTGTATGTGATATATTTTGTCTTTTCCATGGTGTTGACGTTTGGTGATGAGGGCTCCATTAGACTCCTGGCCTGCACCGTGTTTGGCGCTGCCATACTCGCCAGTAAAGTTGTGAGAAAAAACATCATCCCTCGACTAGACTGGACAGATAGAAAGTGGACATTCCGAGAGAAACTGCTGATCGCTAAGGCCAGGAGAATTGCAAGATGGTTAGTGGTCTTAGAGATAAGGTTGCAATGTATTTTTGTATTATCTAACAGATCTAATATTAGCAAATGTAGAGACAAGTTGTTATGTCTCGACTATATGGAGTGTAAGTACTGAATACTCCCTCTTTTTTTTATCTCAGTTCTTCCTTATTTATTTCCAATTGGCAAAGAATATTAAAATCTGCAATTGATAATGGACGTACCATTGACAATCATACGTAATTACACTGTCTAAGGGTTCCCAAAATAATAATGTTCAATCACGTTTAGTGTTTTGAGTAGGAACAGAGTTAAAGTCGGTGTTCATTTCTGGCATTGCTGCTGTGACAACCTTCCACGACTGGGGTCGTCTTCACGGCTCTCCGTGCCACGCTTTAACTTTGCTGCCCATCATATTACGGTGGCATAGGAAGGGGCATCCTTCCCCATCGTTGCACTCATATCTTCATGGAGGGCTTTTTTCTGCAAGAGCTTGATCAATGCACAATCCTCAAAGTTGTCCAGTTTTTGTGTATATACCTCCATGGCGTCATGTAATCTCCACATATTGCGGCATTGCGCATGTCTCTCAATGTGAGTCTGAGACGTTATCAATCATCCCTCGTAGCTGTTAACTTGTACTTCAGTTTCTCAATACGTCCACAGCAGTTAACTTGTACATCAGTTTCTCTATACGTCCACAGCTGTTAACTTGTACTTCAGTTTCTCTATACGTCCACAGCAGTTAACTTGTACATCAGTTTCTCTATACGTCCACAGCTGTTAGCTTGTACTTCAGTTTCTCTATACGTCCACAGCAGTTAACTTGTACATCAGTTTCTCTATACGTCCACAGCAGTTAACTTGTACATCAGTTTCTGTATACGTCCACAGCTGTTAGCTTGTACTTCAGTTTATCTATACGTCCACAGCTGTTAACTTGTACTTCAGTTTCTCTATACGTCCACAGCAGTTAACTTGTACATCAGTTTCTCTATACGTCCACAGCTGTTAGCTTGTACTTCAGTTTCTCTATACGTCCACAACAGTTATCTTGTACATCAGTTTCTGTATACGTCCACAGCAGTTATCTTGTACATCAGTTTCTCTATACGTCCACAGCAGTTAACTTGTACTTCAGTTTCTGTATACGTCCACAGCTGTTAACTTGTACTTCAGTTTCTCTATACGTCCACAGCAGTTAACTTCGACTTCAGTTTCTGTATACGTCCACAGCTGTTAACTTGTACTTCAGTTTCTCTATACGTCCACAGCTGTTAACTTGTACTTCAGTTTCTCTATACGTCCACAGCTGTTAACTTGTACTTCAGTTTCTCTATACGTCCACAGCTGTTAGCTTGTACTTCAGTTTCTCTATACGTCCACAGCAGTTGACTTGTATTTCAATCTCTGTATACGTCCACAGCCCTGAACTTTAATATCAGTTTCTCTATACGCAAACAGCTGTTAATTCCTCAATTTCCCTATACGTTGATAACTATATAAGAATTGAATTTCTATTTGCAAAAATGTACATTCGGGTTCTCATATTCGTACATAACTGTTACCCAACTGTTACGTTTTCTTATACGTATATTTCGACTCACCTGTCAACATCTTTCAACCACCTGCCTGTGCATATGCAATTATAAGTTTGTTTCAATGCACATGTACCTGTCTTTCATTTCAACTCACCCAGGCCTCAACTCACCCATACCCACGCCTTAACTCACCTATACCCACGCCTCAACTCACCTATACCAACGCCTCATCTCACCTATAAATATGTGTCAACTCGCCTATACCCATGCCTTAACTCACCTTTACCCACGCCTCAACTCACGTACCCACGCCTCAACTCACCTTTACCCTCACAACTCACCTAAACCCATGCCTCAACTCACGTACCCACGCCTCAACGCACCTATACCCACACAACTCACCTTTACCCACGCCTCAACTCACCAATACCCATGCCTCAACTCACCTATACCCATGCCTCAACTCACCTATACCCACGCCTAAACTCACCTATACCCACGCCTCAACTCACCGATACCCATGTCTCAACTCACCTATACTCACACCTTAACTCACCTATACCTACGCCTCAACTCACCTATACCCATGCCTCAACTCACCTATATTCACGCCTCAACTCACCTATACCCACGCCTCAACTCACCTATACCCATGCCTCAACTCACCTATACCCACGCCTCAACTCACCTATACCCACGCCTCAACTCACCTATACCCACGCTTCAACTCACCTATACCCACGCCTCAAATCACCTATACCCACGCTTCAACTAACCTATACATATGTGTCAACCTACCCGTACCAGGTTTCAGCGCGCCTGTGCCATGAATCAACTCAACTATACTTTTGTTTCAACTCACCTCTACCTATGCTTCAACTCACCTGTGTCATGATTCAACTCAGCTCTACCTTTGTTTCAACTTACATATGTCTCACCTATGTTCATGTTTCAAGTCACCTAACTTTATGTTGCAGGCTGTTGTATATAGCTACCACTGCGTTTATCGTGGTGTTTCTGGTGCTCGACGTGGGCATGAAACAACCCCGCAACCTCGTGTCTTTAGGGGGCCTGGCTTTCTTCATTGCGGTTGCATTCCTGTTCTCCAATCGGCCAGCTAAGGTACATTAACTTAAACAAAGCCAAGTGCATAATGTCATTTGTTACAGGAGAACTCAAGTGCGTGGTGCCTCAGCTGTAGTTGTATAACAGGACAACTGAAGTGCGTGGTGCCTCAGTAATGGTTGTATTACAGGAGAACTCAAGTGCGTGTTGCCACAGTGGTGTTTCTGTTACAGGTCAGCAGAAGTGCATAGTGCCTTAGCTGTGGTTGTGTTACAGGACAATTGAAGTGCATGGTGCCTCAATAGTGTTTGTGTTACAGGTCAACTGGCACACGGTGTTCTGGTCGGTTGCTCTCCAGTTTCTCTTGGCCTTGTTCATACTCCGTACAGAGCTCGGGTCTGGTTCTGTTTTGTGGATGACAGATAGAGTCGACAATCTGCTGAAGAATTCCAGGAAAGGTTCAGTGTTTATGTTCGGGAAGAGCTACACGGATCACAATCTTATATTCGGGGTAGGAGTTACATGTGCTTGCATATAACATAACTTAACCGTTAGGCGTCCATTGTTTAAGCAATTGCAAGTTCACCACAACTGTTGATACCAGAACGTGTGTGATATGAACATAGTAGATGTTGTTTGTTAAAATCAATATTTAACATACACTTCACACGGTTGTAATATTGTTTTAGAATAACTATTCCAGAGTAGACAATGAAGGCTTTTCCTGACTGTCATTGTCAAGAAATATTTCTGTCAGATATGATGAACGGCACCCGAAACGACCTTACAATTACGATATAATGACGATGATGTGTATGAAAAACAGTGATTGAACTTACAAATCCATCTCCTTATTTCTCTTGTAACCACGTCCGAGGTCAAGTAGCGTCAGCCCGGGGAGCGGAAGGTCGGTGGTTTGATCCACGTCATACCAAAATGTGTTAAAAGATCGTTACTGTGCCTTGCACTTAGCATTCAGGGTCTGAAACAGGGACTGGGCAGCTCGCAGTCAGTAAAACAATAACTTGCGACATGGTTACCCAGTGGGCTACCACTATAAGGCTGGCACACACATAAACACACACTCACACAGACGCGTTCACGCGCACGCACACACGCACGCACGCGCACACACACAAACACACACACACAAACACACGCACATACATTCACTATGTACAGTATAAGTGCAATAATCTTGAACGCGACACCATCACCCCATCACCTCGCATCATTTTTCTTCTCTTGCAGGCAATGCCTCGAATGTTCTTCATTAACGCGCTGGTGGCTGTTATGTTCTATATCGGAGCGATACAGTGGTTTGTCAACATCGTTGGTCGTTTCCTCAGATGGTCACTGGACATCACCGACCGGGAGTCCCTCTGCGTGGCCACCAACATACTCATTGATTTCGTAAGTGCCACAAAGGGAGCTGTCATCACTGTATCTTGTATGCGTCACTGACTCACACATGTCATCACTGTACCCTGTATGTTTTACTGACTCACACATGTCATCACTGTACCCTGTATGACTCACTCACTCACATATGTCATCACTGTGCCCTGTATGTTTCACTCAATCAGGCCTGTCATCACTGTACTGTGTGTGTTTCACTCGCTCAGTCTTGTCATCACTGTACTCTGAATGTTTTACTCACTCAGGCTTGTCATCACTGTACCCTGTATTTCACTCATTCACGCATGTCATCACTGTGCCCTGTATGTTTCACTCAATCAGGCCTGTCATCACTGTACTGTGTATGTTTCACTCGCTCAGTCTTGTCATCACTGTACTCTGAATGTTTTACTCACTCAGGCTTGTCATCACTGTACTCTGAATGTTTTACTCACTCAGGCTTGTCATCACTGTACCCTGTATTTCACTCATTCACGCATGTCATCACTGTATCCTGTATGTTTCACTCAATCAGGCCTGTCATCACTGTACTGTGTATGTTTCACTCGCTCAGTCTTGTCATCACTGTACTCTGAATGTTTTACTCACTCAGGCTTGTCATCACTGTACTCTGAATGTTTTACTCACTCAGGCTTGTCATCACTGTACTCCGAATGTTTTACTCACTCAGGCTTGTCATCACTGTACCCTGTATTTCACTCATTCACGCATGTCATCACTGTGCCCTGTATGTTTCACTCAATCAGGCCTGTCATCACTGTACTGTGTATGTTTCACTCGCTCAGTCTTGTCATCACTGTACTCTGAATGTTTTACTCACTCAGGCTTGTCATACTGTACTCTGAATGTTTTACTCACTCAGGCTTGTCATCACTGTACCCTGTATTTCACTCATTCACGCATGTCATCACTGTGCCCTGTATGTTTCACTCATTCACGCATGTATTTCTCACTGTGGGTTTCAGCCGACCACTGGGCTGGCTATGAAGCCCTACATGGAATTGATGTCGAAGTCGGAGCTCTTCACTGTGCTGGTAGCTGGGCAGGCCTCCGTGTCGGGATCTTTCATTGGAGTCGTCTCATCTTTCGGGGTAGCGTAAATTTATAGCAGATCAAGTGTGTGTGCGTGCGTGTGTGCGTGCGTGCGTGCGTGCGTGCGTGCGTGCGTGCGTTCGTGCTTGCGTGCGTGTGTGTGTGTGTATGTGTGTGTGTGAGCGCACCGGTTGACTTTATAGTAGATCACTGTCAGCGCACTGGTGTACTCTATAGTAGATCACTGTCAACTCACTGGTGGACCCTATAGTAGATCACTACAAGTGTGGGTGTCAGCTCACTGTTGGACTCTATAGTAGATCACTGTCAGCTGCTGATGGACTCTATAGTAGATCACTACAAGTGCGGATGTCAGGTCACTGGTGGACTCTATAGTAGAACACTGTCAGCTACTGATGGACTCTATAGTAGATCACTACAAGTGCGGATGTCAGGTCACTGGTGGACTCTATAGTAGATCACTACAAGTGCGGCTGTCAGGTCACTGGTGGACTCTATAGTAAATCACTGTCAGCTACTGATGGACTCTATAGTAGATCCCTACAAGTGCGGATGTCAGGTCACTGGTGGACTCTATAGTAGAACACTGTCAGCTACTGATAGACTCTATAGTAGATCCCTACAAGTGCGGATGTCAGGTCACTGGTGGACTCTATAGTACATCACTACACGTGCGGCTGTCAGGTCACTGGTGGACTCTATAGTAAATCACTGTCACCTACTGATGGACTCTATAGTAGATCACTACAAGTGCGGATGTCAGGTCACTGGTGGACTCTATAGTAGATCACTTTCAGCTACTGGTGGACTCTATAGTAGATCACTGTCAGCTGCTGTTGGACTCTTTAGTAGATCACTGTCCGCTACTGATCGACCCTATAGTAAATCACTGTCAGCTCACTGGTGGACATTATAGTAGATCACTACAAGTGCGGCTGTCAGGTCACTGGTGGACTCTATAGTAGATCACTGTCACCTCACTGATGGACTCTACAGTAGATCACTGTCAGCTACTGATGGACTCTATAGTAGATCACTGTCAACTACTGGTGGACTCTATAGTAGATCACTACAACTGCGGATGTCAGGTCACTGGTGGACTCTATAGTAGATCACTGTCAACTACTGGTGGACTCTATAGTAGATCACTACAACTGCGGATGTCAGGTCACTGGTGGACTCTATAGTAGATCACTGTCAGCTACTAATGGACTCTATAGTAGATCACTACAAGTGCGGATGTCAGGTCACTGGTGGACTCTATAGTAGATCACTACAAGTGCGGCTGTCAGGTCACTGGTGGACTCTATAGTAAATCACTGTCAGCTACTGATGGACTCTATAGTAGATCCCTACAAGTGCGGATGTCAGGTCACTGGTGGACTCTATAGTAGAACACTGTCAGCTACTGATGGACTCTATAGTAGATCCCTACAAGTGCGGATGTCAGGTCACTGGTGGACTCTATAGTAGATCACTACAAGTGCGGCTGTCAGGTCACTGGTGGACTCTATAGTAAATCACTGTCACCTACTGATGGACTCTATAGTAGATCACTACAAGTGCGGATGTCAGGTCACTGGTGGACTCTATAGTAGCTCACTTTCAGCTACTGGTGGACATTATAGTAGATCACTACAAGTGCGGCTGTTAGGTCACTGGTGGACTCGATAGTAGATCACTGTCACCTCACTGATGGACTCTACAGTAGATCACTGTCAGCTACTGATGGACTCTATAGTAGATCACTGTCAACTACTGGTGGACTCTATAGTAGATCACTACAACTGCGGATGTCAGGTCACTGGTGGACTCTATAGTAGATCACTGTCAGCTACTGATGGACTCTATAGTAGTTCACTGTCAGCTACTGATGGATTCTATGGTAGATCACTGTCAGCTACTGATGGATTCTATAGTAGAACACTGTCAGCTCACTGGTGGACTTTATAGTAGATCACTACAAGTGCGGATGTCAGGTCACTGGTGGGACTCTATAGTAGATCACTGTCACCTACTGATGGACTCTATAGTAGATCCCTACAAGTGCGGATGTCAGGTCACTGGTGGACTCTATAGTAGATCACTGTCCACTACTGGTGGACTCTATAGTAGATCACTGTCAGCTACTGGTTGACTCTATAGTAGATCACTGTCAGCTACTGGTGGATTCTATAGTAGAACACTGTCAGCTCACTGATGGACTTTTTAGTAGATCACTTCAAGTGCGTATGTCAGGTCACTGATGGACTCTATCGTAGATCACTACAAGTGCGGCTGTCAGGTCACTGGTGGACTCTTTAGTAGATCACTGTCAGCTACTGGTGGACTCTATAGTAGATCACTGTCAGCTACTGATGGATTCTATGGTAGATCACTGTCAGCTACTGATGGATTCTATAGTAGAACACTGTCAGCTCACTGGTGGACTTTATAGTAGATCACTACAAGTGCGGATGTCAGGTCACTGGTGGGACTCTATAGAAGATCACTGTCACCTACTGATGGACTCTATAGTAGATCCCTACAAGTGCGGATTTCTGGTCACTGGTGGACTCTATAGTAGATCACTGTCCACTACTGGTGGACTCTATAGTAAATCACTGTCAGCTCACTGGTGGACATTATAGTAGATCACTACAAGTGCGGCTGTCAGGTCACTGGTGGACTCTATAGTAGATCACTGTCAGCTACTGGTGGACTCTATAGTAGATCAATGTCAGCTACTGGTGGATTCTATAGTAGAACACTGTCAGCTCACTGATGGACTTTTTAGTAGATCACTTCAAGTGCGTATGTCAGGTCACTGGTGGACTCTATAGTAGATTACTACAAGTGCGGCTGTCAGGTCACTGGTGGACTCTATAGTAGATCACTGTCAGCTACTGGTGGACTCTATAGTAGATCACTGTCAGCTACTGATGGATTCTATGGTAGATCACTGTCAGCTACTGATGGATTCTATAGTAGAACACTGTCAGCTCACTGGTGGACTTTATAGTAGATCACTACAAGTGCGTATGTCAGGTCACTGGTGGACTCTATAGTAGATCACTGTCAACTACTGGTGGACTCTATAGTAGATCACTACAACTGCGGATGTCAGGTCACTGGTGGACTCTATAGTAGATCACTGTCAGCTACTAATGGACTCTATAGTAGATCACTACAAGTGCGGATGTCAGGTCACTGGTGGACTCTATAGTAGATCACTACAAGTGCGGCTGTCAGGTCACTGGTGGACTCTATAGTAAATCACTGTCAGCTACTGATGGACTCTATAGTAGATCCCTACAAGTGCGGATGTCAGGTCACTGGTGGACTCTATAGTAGAACACTGTCAGCTACTGATGGACTCTATAGTAGATCCCTACAAGTGCGGATGTCAGGTCACTGGTGGACTCTATAGTAGATCACTACAAGTGCGGCTGTCAGGTCACTGGTGGACTCTATAGTAAATCACTGTCACCTACTGATGGACTCTATAGTAGATCACTACAAGTGCGGATGTCAGGTCACTGGTGGACTCTATAGTAGCTCACTTTCAGCTACTGGTGGACATTATAGTAGATCACTACAAGTGCGGCTGTTAGGTCACTGGTGGACTCGATAGTAGATCACTGTCACCTCACTGATGGACTCTACAGTAGATCACTGTCAGCTACTGATGGACTCTATAGTAGATCACTGTCAACTACTGGTGGACTCTATAGTAGATCACTACAACTGCGGATGTCAGGTCACTGGTGGACTCTATAGTAGATCACTGTCAGCTACTGATGGACTCTATAGTAGATCACTACAAGTGCGGATGTCAGGTCACTGGTGGACTCTATAGAAGATCACTACAAGTGCGGCTGTCAGGTCACTGGTGGACTCTGTAGTAGATCACTGTCAGCTACTGGTGGACTCTATAGTAGATCACTGTCAGCTACTGATGGATTCTATGGTAGATCACTGTCAGCTACTGATGGATTCTATAGTAGAACACTGTCAGCTCACTGGTGGACTTTATAGTAGATCACTACAAGTGCGGATGTCAGGTCACTGGTGGGACTCTATAGTAGATCACTGTCACCTACTGATGGACTCTATAGTAGATCCCTACAAGTGCGGATGTCAGGTCACTGGTGGACTCTATAGTAGATCACTGTCCACTACTGGTGGACTCTATAGTAGATCACTGTCAGCTACTGGTTGACTCTATAGTAGATCACTGTCAGCTACTGGTGGATTCTATAGTAGAACACTGTCAGCTCACTGATGGACTTTTTAGTAGATCACTTCAAGTGCGTATGTCAGGTCACTGATGGACTCTATCGTAGATCACTACAAGTGCGGCTGTCAGGTCACTGGTGGACTCTTTAGTAGATCACTGTCAGCTACTGGTGGACTCTATAGTAGATCACTGTCAGCTACTGATGGATTCTATGGTAGATCACTGTCAGCTACTGATGGATTCTATAGTAGAACACTGTCAGCTCACTGGTGGACTTTATAGTAGATCACTACAAGTGCGGATGTCAGGTCACTGGTGGGACTCTATAGAAGATCACTGTCACCTACTGATGGACTCTATAGTAGATCCCTACAAGTGCGGATTTCTGGTCACTGGTGGACTCTATAGTAGATCACTGTCCACTACTGGTGGACTCTATAGTAAATCACTGTCAGCTCACTGGTGGACATTATAGTAGATCACTACAAGTGCGGCTGTCAGGTCACTGGTGGACTCTATAGTAGATCACTGTCAGCTACTGGTGGACTCTATAGTAGATCAATGTCAGCTACTGGTGGATTCTATAGTAGAACACTGTCAGCTCACTGATGGACTTTTTAGTAGATCACTTCAAGTGCGTATGTCAGGTCACTGGTGGACTCTATAGTAGATTACTACAAGTGCGGCTGTCAGGTCACTGGTGGACTCTATAGTAGATCACTGTCAGCTACTGGTGGACTCTATAGTAGATCACTGTCAGCTACTGATGGATTCTATGGTAGATCACTGTCAGCTACTGATGGATTCTATAGTAGAACACTGTCAGCTCACTGGTGGACTTTATAGTAGATCACTACAAGTGCGGATGTCAGGTCACTGGTGGACTCTATAGTAGATCACTGTCAGCTACTGGTGGACTCTATGGTAGATCACTGTCAGCTACTGATGGATTCTATAGTAGAACACTGTCAGCTCACTGATGGACTTTATAGTAGATCACTACAAGTGCGTATGTCAGGTCACTGGTGGGACTCTATAGTAGATCACTACAAGTGCGGCTGTCAGGTCACTGGTGGACTCTATAGTAGATCACTGTCAGCTACTGGTGGACTCTATAGTAGATCACTGTCAGCTACGGATGAAATCGATAGTAGATCACTACAAGGGCGGATGTCAGGTCACTGGTGGACTCTAAAGTAGATCACTGTCAGGTCACTAAGGACTCTATAGTAGATCATTGGCAGCTCACTGGTGGACTCTATAGTAGATCACTGTCAGCTCACTGATTAACTCCACACCGTCAGCACATTGGTTGACTCTATAGGAGATCACTACAAGTGCGGCTGTCAGCTCACTGGTGGACTCTATAGTAGATCACAGTCAGCTACTGGTGGACTCTATAGTAGATCACTGTCAGCTACTGATGGACTCGATAGTAGACCACAGTCGGCTTACTGGTGGACTCTATAGTACATCACTGTCAGCTTACTGATTAACTCCACACCGTCAGCACATTGGTGGACTCTATAGTAGATCACTGTCAGATCGCTGGTGGACACTATAGTAGATCACTACAAGTGCGGCTGTCATGTCACTGATGAACTCAACAGTAGATCACAGCCAGCTCACTGATGGACTCTATAGTAGATCACTGTCACCTCACTGATGAATTCAACAGTAGATCACTGTCAGGTCACTGATGGACTCAATAGTAGATCACAGCCAGCTCACTGATGGACTCTATAGTAGATCACTGTCAGGTCACTGATGGACTCTATAGTAGATCACAGCCAGCTCACTGATGGACTCGATAGCAGATCACTGTCACCTCACTGATGAATTCAACAGTAGATCACTGTCAGCTACTGATGGACTCTATAGTAGATCACTGCAAGTGCGGATGTCAGGTCACTGGTGGACTATAGTAGATCACTACAAGTGCGGATGTCAGGTCACTGGTGGACTCTATAGTAGATCACTGTCACCTACTGATGGACTCTATAGTAGATCACTACAAGTGCGGATGTCAGATCACTGGTGGACTCTATAGTAGATCACTACAAGTGTGGGTGTCAGGTCACTGGTGGACTCCATAGTAAATCACTGTCACCTACTGATGGACTCTATAGTAGATCCCTACAAGTGCGGATGTCAGGTCACTGGTGGACTCTATAGTAGATCACTGTCACCTACTGATGGACTCTATAGTAGATCACTACAAGTGCGGATGTCAGGTCACTGGTGGACTCTAAAGTAGATCACTACAAGTGCGGCTGTCAGGCCACTGGTGGACTCTATAGTAGATCACTGTCACCTACTGATGGACTCTATAGTAGATCACTACAAGTGCGGATGTCAGGTCACTGATGGACTATAGTAGATCACTACAAGTGCGGATGTCAGGTCACTGGTGGACTCTATAGTAGATCACTGTCACCTACTGATGGACTCTATAGTAGATCACTACAAGTGCGGATGTCAGGTCACTGGTGGACTCTATAGTAGATCACTACAAGTGTGGGTGTCAGGTCACTGGTGGACTCTATAGTAGATCACTGTCACCTACTGATGGACTCTATAGTAGATCCCTACAAGTGCGGATGTCAGGTCACTGGTGGACTCTATAGTAGATCACTACAAGTGTGGGTGTCAGGTCACTGGTGGACTCTATAGTAGATGACTTTCAGCTACTGGTGGACTCTATAGCAGATCACTGTCAGCTGCTGGTGGACTCTATAGTAGATCACTCTCCGCTACTGATGGACTCTATAGTAAATCACTGTCAGCTCACTGGTGGACTCTATAGTAGATCACTACAAGTGCGGCTGTCAGGTCACTGGTGGACTCTATAGTAGATCACTGTCAGCTACTGGTGGACTCTATAGTAGATCACTGTCAGCTACTGATGGATTCTATGGTAGATCACTGTCAGCTACTGATGGATTCTATAGTAGAACACTGTCAGCTCACTGATGGACTTTATAGTAGATCACTACAAGTGCGTATGTCAGGTCACTGGTGGGACTCTATAGTAGATCACTACAAGTGCGGCTGTCAGGTCACTGGTGGACTCTATAGCAGATCACTGTCAGCTACTGGTGGACTCTATAGTAGATCACTGTCAGCTACGGATGAAATCGATAGAAGATCACTACAAGGGCGGATGTCAGGTCACTGGTGGACTCTAAAGTAGATCACTGTCAGGTCACTGTGGACTCTATAGTAGATCATTGGCAGCTCACTGGTGGACTCTATAGTACATCACTGTCAGCTCACTGATTAACTCCACACCGTCAGCACATTGGTTGACTCTATAGGAGATCACTACAAGTGCGGCTGTCAGCTCACTGGTGGACTCTATAGTAGATCACTGTCAGCTACTGGTGGACTCTATAGTAGATCACTGTCAGCTACTGATGGACTCGATAGTAGACCACAGTCAGCTTACTGGTGGACTCTATAGTACATCACTGTCAGGTCACTGATGGACTCTATAGTAGATCACAGCCAGCTCACTGATGGACTCGATAGCAGATCACTGTCAGCTCACTGATGGACTCGATAGCAGATCACTGTCAGCTCAATGATGGACTCGATAGCAGATCACTGTCACCTCAATGATGGATTCGATAGTAGATCACTGTCAGCTCCCTGGTGGACTCGATAGTAAGTCACCGTCCGATCACTGTGGACTCTACAGTAGATCACCGTCAGATCACTGTGGACTCTACGGTAGAACCCCGTCAGATCACTGTGGACTCTACAGTAGATCACCATCAGATCACTGATGGACTCTATGGTAGATCACCGTCAGATCACTTTTGGAATTTAAGTAGATCACTGTCAGCTCACTTGTGGGCTCTATAGTAGATCATTGTCAGGTCAGTGGTGGACTCTATGGTAGATCACTGTCAGCTCACTTGTGGGCTCTATAGTAGATCATTGTCAGGTCAGTGGTGGACTCATAGTAGATCACTGTCGGCTCACTCTAGTCGGTGAAAACAGTGTCTGTCCATTGCATGTGTCCTCTAAGTGTGAGAAGGATATATCGTGTGTTCCCAGATATCTGTGTCGTACCTGATCCCGGCGTGTGTGATGTCTGCACCCGCCTCCATTGCCATCTCTAAGTTGCTGTACCCAGAGTCCCGTGCCGTTAGCAACAGAAACACATACGACGTGGGAAATAAAAAGTGAGGCCGTGTAACTATATGTATTACTCCTACGTGAAGAAATCACCCAGTTAAAAACAATAGACGTTCGTTTATTAAACTGTGTTAAATAACGTCACGTGCGGACGAAGACTATTTTTTGTGAACAGCTGACCTTTCGAATGCCCGCATCGGTAGCACTGTGCAAATTGACCACAACGCCTACTCTGGCAATTCTAATGTTCACCAAAACTCCAGAGATACATCGACACAGTCTGCATGTAGCTCAAAACTCGCTGAAGTAAAAACATTCTTTATTTGAATTTGCGAACAATCACGTTTGCATCACACAGAGAGTATACGGACTTTCCCATTCCTTATTGTAGTAAATCAAGTATCGTGGCATTATAAGGTTCTGATCATCACTAATAAACAAAACATTCATCGCCTCGTCTACAAACGTCCATGTTGCAAATAAAAGTAGTCCCCCTTAAACCGCGTCGACAGTTGTTAGAAATGTCGTCTTTGTTGCCAGACGAAAGAATACCGTGTCATGAACATATTTTGATCCGTAAGTGATGTAGCTGACGGTAATATAAACTGCTTAGGATGCAACCATACAAACTGAAATGACAATGTCCCGGGTTCCCCCGCATACCGCAAATAGAGTTTCATATAATAAAGTTTGATTTCACTGTTAAATGCAGACGTTTTTAACGTGTTGATGCTTGTGGTTAATTATTATATTGTGCATGTATAAACCGCACTTATCTAGATACTAGTATGTGCTCAATGCAGTTGATTTGTTCCCCGACCAAAGAATCCAGTTATCCAGTTATTCCAGTTATCATCATCAACTCCTTACGGGCACTAGATGGTCTTCACATCCACCTCACATATCGGGGGCCCATTCCCTGCTGGGTGAACAGAGACACAATTGAACTAAGTCACTTGCCCAGGGTGACACCACACGTTTTGACACTCGTTTTTCGGGTGTGTGAACATATTCATCTTCCATCTATCATAAGTGGGTTCTTCACCGTAAAGACCTGTAAACATTGTCAGTAGCGGGACATGATGTCAGCACCTGGCGCTGTACATCGCTTGCCCATTCCATTAAGACTTTATGGATATGGTTCTAGAGTCTCCATTAAATCTTTATGAATATGGTTCTAGGATCTACGTCTTAACTTTTCTGATAACCAATCACGGAGAAACCTGTGTACTTTATTGTGAGCTATGAATGTTAAATTCAAGCGCCACCCTTCTATACAGCGACGTCTTATTTTTAAACGTTAAATTAAGATGTTTAAGTGAGGAAGAAGAAATAAACCACTACACTCGTCCCCGTTTGATTCCGTTTATCTAATTCCGCTCGTTAGATGCGTTTTTGATATACACTCTTTTTTAATAAAAACGCTTCTAACAGGGACTGGGGGAACTGGAGGAAAACAGGAATCCTTGTTAAGCGCGATTGCCAGGCGTATTGGCTCCTGTAGACAGGTGTCGCAGGGTGTAAGAGGTATACAGCTACACATAAATCCAATGTTTGCTCGTCCCTAATAGTCACACGTATCAAATATCTGTCCGAAGAATCGAAGAACTGCAATAGGGTTTCGGGTGGTACCTGGCTAAATGTGTGACACGAACCGGATCGTGTTCATGATAAGATATATTTAGCCAATCAATAACACTGAATATTTGCATTTGTGAAATTAACAACATTGGAATGAATGTTACCCCTTGAATAATAGTTATTTTGTTCTTGAATGAGTATTTAACCTCGATCCTAAAGTTGTATAGCCACACATGTTACATTCTCTGCGGTGATGTCATCTATATTCTACCCTACCTGGAAGGGCCATATCATAGTAGAATGTCTTCATCAAGAATAATAATGTCAATACGATTTTGATACAATGCTGAAGAGTTGCGTGTATCGCCGTGGGTTTCATTCGGGACACTTTCTTGTAAACCCTCGGAAGCAGATATGCAGTCCATCGATCGCTAGTTCATGTAGACAGTATTGTTTTACGGTGTAGGTTATTTGGGCACACTGTGATTGTATATGTTCATGTGTTGGTATTTGCTAGATATACAAGCATATTCGAGGCAGCATCCATTGGGGCAACTTCCTCTCTTCACGTGTTTGGCAGCGTCGTCGTCAACCTATACGTCTTCTATGGCCTTCTCTCACTCATTAACTCCACACTTGGCTGGTTCGGCGACAGGGTGAACGTCAACGATCTAACATTTGAGGTTTGTCATCGAAAAACTTTATTAACAATAAAGCAATATTTATGTTTCGATTTATATCATCGTTATCTCAACATTATAACTGTTCACCAAAGTACCTGCGAGGTATATGAAGTATAATATCAATCTGAGTAACTTTGTTGTGAGATCAAAAGTAGGTATGTGCGACACTGGACAAGGAGTGCGGAGCCTACTCATGTTACGGGACAAAGAGGAGCATAATTATCCTACCAGCCTGAATTTGAGTGTGGAGGGAGAGGGGGGCGGTCATGCTACAGGACAGTGAGAGAGAGGGGGGGGGGGGGGGGGGTATGCTGCAGGATAGGGAGGGGAGTGGTGCTACAGGACAGAAGGAGGGAGAGGGGAGTCATGTTACATGACGATGGGGGATGAGAGTCATGCCACAGGATGATGGGGGGGGAGTCATGCTACAGGATGGGGGAGTCATGCTACAGGACAGTGGGGGGGTGTCATGCTACAGGACGGGGGGAGGAGAGTCATGCTGTAGGACGGGGGGAAGAGAGTCATGCTACAGGATGGGGGAGTCATGATACAAGACGGGATGTGAGAGTCATGCTACAGGACAGTGAGGGGGGGGGGGTCATGTTACAGGACGGGGGAGTCATGCTACAGGACGGGGAGGGGACTCATGCTACAGGACAGTGAGGGGGGGGTCATGTTTCAGGACGGGGGGAGGAGAGTCATGCTGCAGTACAGGGAGGGGTAGGAGACTTATGCTGTAGGACAGGGAGGGGGTGAGAGTCATGCTACAGGACAGGGAGGGGACCCATGCCACAGGACGGGGGAGTCATGCTACAGGACGGGGAGGGGACTCATGCTACAGGACAGTGAGGGGGGGGGGGGGTCATGCTACAGGACGGGGGGAGGAGAGTCATGCTGCAGGACAGGGAGGGGTAGGAGACTCATGCTGTAGGACAGGGAGGGGGGTGAGAGTCATGCTACAGGACGGAGGGAGTCATGCTACAGGACGGGGAGGGGACTCATGCCACAGGACGGGGGAGTCATGCTACAGGACGGGGAGGGGACTCATGCTACAGGACGGGGGGTGAGAGTCATGCTGTAGGACAGAGATGGAGTGGATTAGCGTCACAAATCGGAACGGGGAGGGGATGAGAGTCATTGGTACAAGGACAGAGACGGGTGGAGTGTCAGGCTACCTGGAGGACGTTGGTGTGTTGCACCGATATGACATGCACCTGTCTTGACAGTACTGACAGGGACACCGTGATCCACCGGCTGGAGCCCATGTTCTGTATAGGTCCAGACGCTATCATTAGTAACTTGTGTGAAACTGAAAAATCACAATCTGTTAGACGGTTATACCTCAGAGGAGAAACCCAGTTGAGTTTGCACAGGTTGAATCAAGTATGACCTAGCATAGTCACCTTTTAAATATTAGGTAGAATTTACCCTATGGCCTCAGACAAAGACCCTGCAGGAGGGCTGCAACACTACAGATGGTAACTCTCCCTTTCTCTCTTTCTCTTTGTAACCTTGGCTCCATCTAACAAAGTGTGTATTTTCAGTTCCTGTGTTCGTACATTTTCCTGCCGCTGCCCGCCATCATGGGTGCCGACATTCAGGACTGTGGCAATATCGGCAAGCTGATTGGGTATAAGATTATGGGCTCTGCAGCACTGTCCTACATGCAGCTCTCGATGATGTCTGACAACAGAAAGGTGTTCCATGACTACATGGAAAGTACAAACGGAACAGGCACATATCGCTATATACGAGATGACCTGTACTTAGACGGTTGGAACAAAACCTTGCAATATGGTTATATCACGGTACGTAAAAAACAATTGGAAACACTTTTTTTTTTTAAATGCATTATTTTTTTCCTGATTTTCGATATTTTTTTGTTTAATTCAGCCAGTAAATCAACTTCACAAAGACATTTTACGTTTAAAGGTCAAAGCAAATCTTTTCACTTTTTGACTGTTTATACTTAGGAAACGATAACACGTTTAAATGCAATCAGAGAATATCGGATGGCTCAATAGAGTTTGTTTATTAATACACTTTCTCAAGATTATGAGTTGGGTTTAAATACTCTTAATAACAGATAGTAAAAGAGTTCATTCATAAAGCAACAAGATTTGAAATCTTTATCTATCAGTTACCTGTTTCTATTGCAGGAGAAATCCGAGGCAATATCTACATACGCTTTGTGTGGCTTGTCTAACTTCGTATCCATTGGGATATCCCTGGCTGTTTTCTACACCATCGTTCCAACAAAGCAGAAATTCATTACCAAGAAAATAGTGTCATCAATGTTGTCAGCAAACGTGGCTTGCTTCATGACTGCATGTTTCGCAGGTGAGATTGTTTCCGTGTAATCAAAACATCTTTAGTTGGTTGAACAATACGGCTAAAACATATAGTTTAGTTAAAAAGCGTATTTGAAACACATCTGGTTAAAAAAAGGTAATCTAAAAGCATCCCTTTTGGTGGTTTAAGGAGGATGTTTGTTTGGAGAGAGAGCGTCGGTTGGTTGGTGGAGAGGTTCAGAAGACATCTCTCTTTCTAAAACCATCACCTATCGTTTGGTGATGTGGGTATTTCTAAAGCCGTCAGTTGGTGGAAAGAGTGTATTTATTTTTTTTTAAATCATCAAACGAAGAGTGACTGAGTGAGTATAGTTTTACGCCCCTGATTCCATCAATATCACGGCGGTGGACACCACAAAATTGGCTTCACGCATTGTGGGGAATCGAACCCAGGTCTTCAGTGCGACGAGCAATCGCTTTAACCACTAAACTAATCCACCGCCCCTCATCACTCAGAATGAAATAATGGACTTATTCAAGGATTCGTAATATATATAGTCTTGAATATTTGTAGATTTTTCAAAAACCTTGTAAACTTTTCAAGCATTACTAGATTTGTCATGTGCCGAGTATCCAGTTTCAATGTTTTTCGAAATAAATAATCAATTTATTCAATCTACAATATGCTGTGGGCCGAAAACGCCCCAGATGGTACCAAAGGAGGGTTGCGAGCGCCGATGACAACAGAGCTCTCAACTAGACTATCGTTGATCTGACCTCTGTGTCATCATCATATTCAGTAATGTTTCTTGTCAAGACAATAAACAGTTTCATGGCGTTAGTTAAGATTTGCAACATTCCGCGACGCTTTGTCAGCTGATTGTTTTGTTTCCCGTGCATCTGTGGATTTTCGCTGACATCCTGAAAACATTTCCCCTCCTATCTGAGCTGTGCCGATCTTCTATCATGGATAGCATGTCCTTCTGTACAAGACTGTGTTCTGTGTGTTGTATATCTCCTGTACAAGACTGTGTTCTGTGTGTTGTAGATATGTACACGACTGTGTTCTGTGTGTTGTAGATCTCCTGTACACGACTGTGTTCTGTGTGTTGTAGATCTCTTGTACACGACTGTGTTCTGTGTGTTGTAGATCTCCTGTACACGACTGTGTTCTGTGTGTTGTATATCTCCTGTACACGACTGTGTTCTGTGTGTTGTAGATCTCCTGTACAAGACTGTGTTCTGTGTGTTGTATATCTCCTGTACACGACTGTGTTCTGTGTGTTGTAGATGTGTACACGACTGTGTTCTGTGTGTTGTAGATGTGTACACGACTGTGTTCTGTGTGTTGTATATCTCCTGTACACGACTGTGTTCTGTGTGTTGTAGATCTCCTGTACAAGACTTTGTTCTGTGTGTTGTAGATCTCCTGTACAAGACTGTGTTCTGTGTGTTGTATATCTCCTGTACACGACTGTGTTCTGTGTGTTGTAGATGTGTACACGACTGTGTTCTGTGTGTTGTAGATGTGTACACGACTGTGTTCTGTGTGTTGTAGATGTGTACACGACTGTGTTCTGTGTGTTGTATATCTCCTGTACACGACTTTGTTCTGTGTGTTGTAGATATGTACACGACTGTGTTCTGTGTGTTGTAGATCTCCTGTACAAGACTTTGTTCTGTGTGTTGTAGATCTCCTGTACAAGACTTTGTTCTGTGTGTTGTACATCTCCTGTACACGACTGTGTTCTGTGTGTTGTAGATGTGTACACGACTGTGTTCTGTGTGTTGTAGATGTGTACACGACTGTGTTCTGTGTGTTGTAGATGTGTACACGACTGTGTTCTGTGTGTTGTATATCTCCTGTACACGACTGTGTTCTGTGTGTTGTAGATCTCCTGTACAAGACTTTGTTCTGTGTGTTGTAGATCTCCTGTACAAGACTGTGTTCTGTGTGTTGTATATCTCCTGTACACGACTTTGTTCTGTGTGTTGTAGATATGTACACGACTTTGTTCTGTGTGTTGTAGATCTCCTGTACAAGACTGTGTTCTGTGTGTTGTAGATGTGTACACGACTGTGTTCTGTGTGTTGTAGATGTGTACACGACTGTGTTCTGTGTGTTGTATATCTCCTGTACACGACTGTGTTCTGTGTGTTGTAGATCTCCTGTACAAGACTTTGTTCTGTGTGTTGTATATCTCCTGTACACGACTGTGTTCTGTGTGTTGTAGATGTGTACACGACTGTGTTCTGTGTGTTGTAGATGTGTACACGACTGTGTTCTGTGTGTTGTATATCTCCTGTACACGACTTTGTTCTGTGTGTTGTAGATATGTACACGACTGTGTTCTGTGTGTTGTAGATCTCCTGTACAAGACTTTGTTCTGTGTGTTGTAGATCTCCTGTACAAGACTTTGTTCTGTGTGTTGTATATCTCCTGTACACGACTGTGTTCTGTGTGTTGTAGATGTGTACACGACTGTGTTCTGTGTGTTGTAGATGTGTACACGACTGTGTTCTGTGTGTTGTATATCTCCTGTACACGACTGTGTTCTGTGTGTTGTAGATGTGTACACGACTGTGTTCTGTGTGTTGTAGATGTGTACACGACTGTGTTCTGTGTGTTGTATATCTCCTGTACACGACTGTGTTCTGTGTGTTGTATATCTCCTGTACAAGACTTTGTTCTGTGTGTTGTAGATCTCCTGTACAAGACTGTGTTCTGTGTGTTGTATATCTCCTGTACACGACTGTGTTCTGTGTGTTGTAGATCTCCTGTACAAGACTTTGTTCTGGGTGTTGTAGATCTCCTGTACAAGACTGTGTTCTGTGTGTTGTAGATCTCCTGTACACGACTTTGTTCTGTGTGTTGTAGATCTCCTGTACAAGACTGTGTTCTGTGTGTTGTAGATCTCCTGTACAAGACTTTGTTCTGTGTGTTGTAGATCTCCTGTACAAGACTGTGTTCTGTGTGTTGTATATCTCCTGTACACGACTTTGTTCTGTGTGTTGTAGATATGTACACGACTTTGTTCTGTGTGTTGTAGATCTCCTGTACAAGACTGTGTTCTGTGTGTTGTAGATGTGTACACGACTGTGTTCTGTGTGTTGTATATCTCCTGTACACGACTTTGTTCTGTGTGTTGTAGATATGTACACGACTGTGTTCTGTGTGTTGTAGATCTCCTGTACAAGACTTTGTTCTGTGTGTTGTAGATCTCCTGTACAAGACTTTGTTCTGTGTGTTGTATATCTCCTGTACACGACTGTGTTCTGTGTGTTGTAGATGTGTACACGACTGTGTTCTGTGTGTTGTATATCTCCTGTACACGACTGTGTTCTGTGTGTTGTAGATCTCCTGTACAAGACTTTGTTCTGTGTGTTGTAGATCTCCTGTACAAGACTGTGTTCTGTGTGTTGTATATCTCCTGTACACGACTTTGTTCTGTGTGTTGTAGATATGTACACGACTGTGTTCTGTGTGTTGTAGATCTCCTGTACACGACTTTGTTCTGTGTGTTGTAGATCTCCTGTACAAGACTGTGTTCTGTGTGTTGTAGATGTGTACACGACTGTGTTCTGTGTGTTGTATATCTCCTGTACACGACTTTGTTCTGTGTGTTGTAGATATGTACACGACTGTGTTCTGTGTGTTGTAGATCTCCTGTACAAGACTTTGTTCTGTGTGTTGTAGATCTCCTGTACAAGACTTTGTTCTGTGTGTTGTATATCTCCTGTACACGACTGTGTTCTGTGTGTTGTAGATGTGTACACGACTGTGTTCTGTGTGTTGTATATCTCCTGTACACGACTGTGTTCTGTGTGTTGTAGATCTCCTGTACAAGACTTTGTTCTGTGTGTTGTAGATCTCCTGTACAAGACTGTGTTCTGTGTGTTGTATATCTCCTGTACACGACTTTGTTCTGTGTGTTGTAGATATGTACACGACTGTGTTCTGTGTGTTGTAGATCTCCTGTACAAGACTTTGTTCTGTGTGTTGTAGATCTCCTGTACAAGACTTTGTTCTGTGTGTTGTAGATCTCCTGTACACGACTGTGTTCTGTGTGTTGTATATCTCCTGTACACGACTGTGTTCTGTGTGTTGTAGATGTGTACACGACTGTGTTCTGTGTGTTGTAGATGTGTACACGACTGTGTTCTGTGTGTTGTATATCTCCTGTACACGACTTTGATCTGTGTGTTGTAGATATGTACACGACTGTGTTCTGTGTGTTGTAGATGTGTACACGACTGTGTTCTGTGTGTTGTATATCTCCTGTACACGACTGTGTTCTGTGTGTTGTAGATCTCCTGTACACGACTTTGTTCTGTGTGTTGTAGATCTCCTGTACAAGACTGTGTTCTGTGTGTTGTATATCTCCTGTACACGACTGTGTTCTGTGTGTTGTAGATGTGTACACGACTGTGTTCTGTGTGTTGTAGATGTGTACACGACTGTGTTCTGTGTGTTGTATATCTCCTGTACACGACTGTGTTCTGTGTGTTGTATATCTCCTGTACAAGACTTTGTTCTGTGTGTTGTAGATCTCCTGTACAAGACTGTGTTCTGTGTGTTGTATATCTCCTGTACACGACTGTGTTCTGTGTGTTGTAGATGTGTACACGACTGTGTTCTGTGTGTTGTAGATCTCCTGTACACGACTGTGTTCTGTGTGTTGTAGATGTGTACACGACTGTGTTCTGTGTGTTGTATATCTCCTGTACACGACTGAGTTCTGTGTGTTGTATATCTCCTGTACAAGACTTTGTTCTGTGTGTTGTAGATGTGTACACGACTGTGTTCTGTGTGTTGTAGATGTGTACACGACTGTGTTCTGTGTGTTGTATATCTCCTGTACACGACTGTGTTCTGTGTGTTGTATATCTCCTGTACAAGACTTTGTTCTGTGTGTTGTAGATCTCCTGTACAAGACTTTGTTCTGTGTGTTGTAGATGTGTACACGACTGTGTTCTGTGTGTTGTATATCTCCTGTACACGACTTTGTTCTGTGTGTTGTAGATATGTACACGACTGTGTTCTGTGTGTTGTATATCTCCTGTACAAGACTTTGTTCTGTGTGTTGTAGATGTGTACACGACTGTGTTCTGTGTGTTGTATATCTCCTGTACAAGACTTTGTTCTGTGTGTTGTAGATATGTACACGACTTTGTTCTGTGTGTTGTAGATATGCACACGACTGTGTTCTGTGTGTTGTAGATCTCCTGTACACGACTGTGTTCTGTGTGTTGTAGATGTGTACACGACTGTGTTCTGTGTGTTGTAGATCTCTTGTACACGACTGTGTTCTGTGTGTTGTAGATCTCCTGTACAAGACTTTGTTCTGTGTTGTAGATGTGTACACGACTGTGTTCTGTGTGTTGTATATCTCCTGTACAAGACTTTGTTCTGTGTGTTGTAGATATGCACACGACTGTGTTCTGTGTGTTGTAGATATGTACATGACTGTGTTCTGTGGGTTGTAGGTCTCCTGTACTAGGAATACGCTGATATTGCTCTCTCTCTCTGAGATGGCCAACCAACGCCCGGCAGCAAAGAACAGAGAACGGTTCACTTGTTATAACCAGTGCAATTCACATACTCCATCTGCAGCACTGTATATGTACGGAGCTTTTTTTTCATAAGATTTATTCATGCTCAGCTACGTGTATATATCCATGCGTATCGGCAAAGCAAAGAAATACAGTCCTCAATAGGCAGAACCGCATGACGCGTGACGGTGACGCAGTGCACTGAACCAGATATTTACTCGACCTGTTGTCAGACCAAGGTGCAGCCAGACGTAATGACGTATGTGTGGATGTGAGGAACTGTCAGGCCGCCTTGCTTGTTAACATAGTACAAAGGCGTGGCCTGAATCAAGGACAAAGTGTTTCTCAACAGAGTTGAAATGTGTTTAGAAGTTAGCTTGGTAAAAATGTTAATATATATAATGAATATGACAAACACGTTGCCATGTTGTAGAATCTAACTCATATATGAGTGAGTCATATGTTGATGTTCCCGTCGGACAAATAAACAAAATATCATCTCAAAATCTTCTTCCTAAACACAGGAAAAAAAGAGACGTGCAAATCATGGTTTAGGAGCTCAGTGAGTGAGTGAGTGAATATGGTTTTTACTTACTTTTCGCAACATTCCACGATATTGCGCCAGGGAACACCAGAAATTGGCTTCACACATTGTACACATATGGGGAATATAACCCGGGTCTTCGGCGTAACGAGCGAACGCTTTAACCACTAGGCTACCCGACCGCCCCTTAGGTGGTAAATGTTTCTGTTACCGTGTACATCAGGATTTAGTAATGATACAAGTAAATGTAAACTGACGTCCAAAAGAAACTTTACCAGAGTTTGAAATCACTCTTGCTCAAAAACAACAAAACATACATGCATGAAGTAAAGTGTATTGAGAAGATCAATATATCAACATAATCAACACTGAAAATGACAATCATACCGCGACCGAGAATGACGTCAGAGCCCCCCAAAGTTGGGTGTGGTACAAAACTCGAGCTTTCAGAATCATGGTCAATAGGCAGAGTACATAAACAATCGCTCACGTTCAATAACAAGTCATTAGTAGCGTGTGTGACCACCAAATGCCTCAATACATGCAAAAACTCTTCGACGCACAGAAAAAGTCAGTCGTCTGATGAAGTCACGTGGGATTTGACGCCATTCTCTTTGGAGGGCCAAGATCAGTTCTTGCCGGTTGGCTGGAGAGTGTGGTCGTTGTTGAACACGACGATCCACCAAGTCCCAGAGGTGTTCTATGGGGGACATGTCGGGTGAGCGTGCAGGCCACGGCAGGTCGTTGACGTTGTTGGCTGCGAGGAGTGAGTGAGTGAGTATCGTTTTACGCCGCCTTTAGCAATATTCCAGCAATATCACGGCGGGGGACACCAGAAATGGGCTTCACACATTGTACCCATGTCGGGAATCTAACCCGGGTCTTCGGCGTGACGAGCGAACGCACGCTTTAACCACTAGGCTACCCGACCGCCCCTGGCTGCGAGGAAGTTAGTGACAATTCTGGCTGTATGGGCTCTAGCGTTGTCATGCTGATAAATGACACCACGTGGCTGCTGTTTGAGAAATGGTAGGACAACTGGACGAAGAATGTTATCCATGTAACGCTGAGCTTTCAAGTTTCCGTAAACGATGACCAGCGGTGTCCTCTCCTGCCCACAGATCCCTCCCCACACCATGACACTCCCTCCACCATATGGTACGACCTCCTGCATGCAACACGTCGCCGTTCGTTCACCCCTTCTGCGGTAAACACGTTGTCTTCCATCAGCCCTAAACATACAGAATCGACTTTCGTCAGTGAAGACAACCCTCTGCCAGTCACGTCGTTGCCAACGTCGTACAGTCCGGGCCCATCTCAATCGTAGACGACGATGTTGCGCTGTCAATAGCGGGAGCAACCGAAGGTTCGTGCAATATGGGCGTGGGTGGCTCCCATCTGTACCATACCCAAGGCTCGTTCACGTTGTTCGACTGTGAGTCGTGGCATTTCTTTTGTGTTTTTTTTATCACTGTGGATGTCTGACTTACCGTTGCAATCGTTTTATACCCTTACCCGCACGTGCATTTGCAGTTGTCCGTGGTGCACGTGTTTTTCGCGTGTTATCTCGCAAACATGTAACAGACGATTAACATTTTCTGCATACACTTGTTGTAGTTAGGTTCTGTGTTTTAGATAGACTTCATCGAAAAGAAATGTATACTTTGTAAGAAATTTATACTTTCAGTTGGTAACGTTTCTTTTGGACGTCAGTTTATAAACACGGGGTACATGGTACGGTATTCACACGGAGTACAGTACAGTAGAGACACGGGGTACGGTATAGACACACGGCACTAGTAGTGTGCAGAAGAGATACAGGGTACGCTATAGACACTGGACACTGTACAGTATAGACTCGGGGTACGCTATAGACACTGGACACTGTACAGTATAGACACGGGGTACGCTATAGACACTGGACACAGCACAGTAGAGACACGGGGTACGGTATAGACACTGGACACAGTACAGAAGAGACACGGGGTACGATATAGACACTGAACACAGTACAGAAGAGACACGGGGTACGCTATAGACACTGGACACTGTACAGTAAAGACACGGGGTACGGTATAGACACTGGACACAGTACAGTAGAGACACGGGGGACGATATAGACACTGGCCACAATACAGTTGAGACACGGGGTACGGTATAGACACTGGACACAGAACAGAAGAGACTCGGGGTACGATAAAGACACTAGACACAGTACAGAAGAGACACGGCGTACGGTATAGACACTGGACACAGAACAGTACCGGAACGAGGTACTGTATAGACACTGGACACAGTACAGAAGAGACTCGGGGTACGATAAAGACACAAGACACAGTACAGAAGAGACACGGGGTACTGTATAGACACTGGACACTATACAGTAGAGACACGGGGTACGATATAGAGACTGGACACAGTACAGAAGAGACACGGGGCGCGGTATAGACACTGGTAACAGAACAGTAGCGGCACGGGGTACGGTAAAAACACTGGACACAGTACAGAAGGGACACTGGGTACGATAAAGACACTGGACAAAGAACAGTATAGACACAGGGTACGCTATAGACACAGGACACTGAACAGTATAGACGCAGGGTACGGTATAGACACTGGACACAGTACAGTAGAGACACGGGGTACTGTATAGACACTGGACACTATACAGTAGAGACACGGGGTACGATATAGAGACTGGACACAGTACAGAAGAGACACGGGGCGCGGTATAGACACTGGTAACAGAACAGTAGCGGCACGGGGTACGGTATAGACACTGGACACAGTACAGTAGCGGCACGGGGTACGGTAAAAACACTGGACACAGTACAGAAGGGACACTGGGTACGATAAAGACACTGGACAAAGAACAGTATAGACACAGGGTACGCTATAGACACAGGACACTGAACAGTATAGACGCGGGGTACGGTATAGACACTGGACACAGTACAAAAGAGACACGGGGCGCGGTATAGACACTGGACACAGAACAGTAGAGACACGGGGTACGGTATAGACACTGGACACAGTACAGAAGAGACACGGGGTACGCTATAGACACTGGACACTGTACAGTAAAGACACGGGGTACGGTATAGACACTGGACACAGTACAGTAGAGACACGGGGGACGATATAGACACTGGCCACAATACAGTATAGACACCGGGTACGGTATAGACACTGGACACAGAACAGAAGAGACTCGGGGTACGATAAAGACACTAGACACAGTACAGAAGAGACACGGCGTACGGTATAGACACTGGACACAGAACAGTAGCGGAACGAGGTACTGTATAGACACTGGACACAGTAAAGAAGAGACTCGGGGTACGATAAAGACACTAGACACAGTACAGAAGAGACACGGCGTACGGTATAGACACTGGACACAGAACAGTAGCGGAACGAGGTACTGTATAGACACTGGACACAGTACAGAAGAGACTCGGGGTACGATAAAGACACAAGACACAGTACAGAAGAGACACGGGGTACTGTATAGACACTGGACACTATACAGTAGAGACACGGGGTACGATATAGAGACTGGACACAGTACAGAAGAGACACGGGGCGCGGTATAGACACTGGTAACAGAACAGTAGCGGCACGGGGTACGGTAAAAACACTGGACACAGTACAGAAGGGACACTGGGTACGATAAAGACACTGGACAAAGAACAGTATAGACACAGGGTACGCTATAGACACAGGACACTGAACAGTATAGACGCAGGGTACGGTATAGACACTGGACACAGTACAGTAGAGACACGGGGTACTGTATAGACACTGGACACTATACAGTAGAGACACGGGGTACGATATAGAGAGTGGACACAGTACAGAAGAGACACGGGGCGCGGTATAGACACTGGTAACAGAACAGTAGCGGCACGGGGTACGGTATAGACACTGGACACAGTACAGTAGCGGCACGGGGTACGGTAAAAACACTGGACACAGTACAGAAGGGACACTGGGTACGATAAAGACACTGGACAAAGAACAGTATAGACACAGGGTACGCTATAGACACAGGACACTGAACAGTATAGACGCGGGGTACGGTATAGACACTGGACACAGTACAAAAGAGACACGGGGCGCGGTATAGACACTGGACACAGAACAGTAGAGACACGGGGTACGGTATAGACACTGGACACAGTACAGAAGAGACACGGGGTACGCTATAGACACTGGACACTGTACAGTAAAGACACGGGGTACGGTATAGACACTGGACACAGTACAGTAGAGACACGGGGGACGATATAGACACTGGCCACAATACAGTATAGACACCGGGTACGGTATAGACACTGGACACAGAACAGAAGAGACTCGGGGTACGATAAAGACACTAGACACAGTACAGAAGAGACACGGCGTACGGTATAGACACTGGACACAGAACAGTAGCGGAACGAGGTACTGTATAGACACTGGACACAGTAAAGAAGAGACTCGGGGTACGATAAAGACACTAGACACAGTACAGAAGAGACACGGCGTACGGTATAGACACTGGACACAGAACAGTAGCGGAACGAGGTACTGTATAGACACTGGACACAGTACAGTAGAGACACGGGGTACGGTATAGACACTGGACACAGAACAATAGAGACACGGGGTACGTAATAGGCATTGGACAAAGTACAGAAGAGACACGGGGTACGGTATAGGCACTGGACAGAGTGCAGAAGAGACATGGGGCACGGTATAGACACTGGACATAGAACAGTATCGGCACGGGATACGGTATAGAAACAGGACACAGTAGAGAAGAGACACGGGGTACGGTATAGACACTGGACACAATACAGTAGAGACACGGGGTACTGTATAGACACTGGACACTATACAGTAGAGACACGGGGTACGATATAGAGACTGGACACAGTACAGAAGAGACACGGGGCGCGGTATA